GCCGTTCTCTTTTTCTTTTTTTTTTCCCTTTTGCTGGCCGTTTTCCTCCCCCTACCACACAACATTTGGTGTGTGTGTGTGTGTGTGTGTGTGCGTGTGTGTGAGAATTTAGCCACCTCCATAATTTGGAATTTTCCTTCAGATTTGATCATCAGATAGTTGATCAAACCCAATGGGGAAAAGACCAAAAAAACAACAAAAACAGAAACAAACAAATGAAAACAGTTAAGCAGAACAAACAATGTCACAACTTACACAATTACTGAGCACTCTAACGGTAAAGAGGAATTAAGACCACCTGGTTGTTAATCTTAACTTTAGCCAAGACAAACCCCAATTCAGTTACTTACCTAGGGGTGTCTCAGGCTGAAAACTGCTCTCTACCATACCAGAGGCAGGAAAAAACTCAAATTTGTCTTCCCTGTTGGAAGTGAGCTTAAACTCCATATAAAGTCTCAAAAAAAAAAAAAAAAAAAAAAAAAAGTAGAGCATAACGTTCTACTTCTTAAGTTTCCACTGCACTAGTGACTTTCCTCCAAAGACCATAGTGTGAAAAGGGAGAAGAACAAAAAAACACACAACTTTGCAAATGAAGAAATCTAACAAACACTACCTTAAGACAGGTGATCGACGTTAACATGAACAGTGATAAGTCATAATAATAATATGTATCCTTATTATGATGTGAAGAGAATGTCACAAAACATGATAGAACTGCAAGGAGGAAAGAGACAAATACACGATTACTTTCAGAAATGTCAATATCCCCCTCTCAATAGTCAATAGAACAACTTGACAGATAATAAGCAAGGATATTACAGACTTAAACAACCTGAATTGACTCATTTATAGAACTGTCTCCCCAACAACAGAATACATACTCTTCTCAAATATGCGTAGACTACTTACCTAGACAGATCGTAATCTGAGCCATTAAACAAGTCTCAATATATTCAAATGATTAAAGTTATACAAAGTATGTTCTATGACTACAATGGAATTAAATTAGAAATCATTAACATAAGGATCTCAGGAAAATCCCCAAATATTTGGAAATTTTAAAACCTAGTTCTAAATAGCCCACTGGTCAAAGAAAAAATCAAAGAAAATTTTGATTTGGCGATGGTTCCACAGGTGTATGTGGAAAACTTATCTGTGTCAAACCACCTGTGTCAAAACTCATCAGGCCAGACACTGTGGCCCACGCCTGTAATCACAACACTTTGGGAGGCCAAGGCGGGAGGATCCCTTGAGCCCAGGAGTTCCAGCTTGCAGTGCGGTGGTGATCACACGACCACACTCAAGTCTGGGAGACAGAGCAAGACTTTGTCTCAAAAAAAAACAACAAACTTATCAAATTGTTCACTTTAAAAATGTACACATCAGTCGGGCATGGTGGCTCATGTCTGTAATCCCAGCACTTTGGGAGGCTGAGGTGGGCGGATCACCCGAGGTCGGGAGTTCGAGACCAGCCTGACCAACATGGAGAAATCCCATCTCTACTAAAAATACAAAATTAGCTGGGTGTGGTGGCACATGCCTGTAATAGAAGCTACTTGGGAGGCTGACGCAGGAGAATCGCTTAAACCCGGGAGGCAGAGGTTGCGGTGAGCCAAGATCGATTGCACCTTTGCACTCCAGCCTGGGCAACAAAAGCAAAACTCCATCTCAAAAAAAAAAAAAAAGAAAAGAAAAAATGTACACATCAATTTTATGTAAATTACACATACCTCAATAAAGCTATTAATAGTGTGTATGGTATACAACAATTTGTGTAAAACAATCACAAATATAAATTATTTTATACACAAAGATTATCTCTGAAAAGATACATTAGAAAATGATGAATGTGCTGGATTTTGTAAAAGAGAACTAGGGGATTAATAGGAGTGAAACTGATTGATTACAGATACCTACTGTATTGTTTGGATTATTTACCATACGTATGTTTTACCTTTTGTTTGTTTGTTGTTTTTGAGACAGGGTCTCACTCTGTCACCCAGACTAGAGTGCAGTGATGCAATCTCGGCTCGTTGCAGCCTCCACCTTCTGGGTTCAAGTGATTCTCCTGCCTCAGCCTCCCGAATAGCTGGGATTACAGGCATGCATCACCACATCTGGCTAATTTTTGTATTTTTAGTAGAGATGGGGTTTCACCATGTTGGCCAGGCTGGTCTCGAACTCCTGACCTCAAGTGATCCACCCACCCTGACCTCCCAAAGTGCTGGGATTACAGGCATGAGCCACCACACCGACCTGTTTTACCTTTTTATAAAAACTGAAATAATTTCAAAACCTGCTTTAAGGGCCTTTTGAAGAAAGGACTAGGGTAAAGAACCATCACAAATGTTCTCAGTAGAAGATGGACCCTAAGAGTAGAAACCAATCCTTGAGCGCCAAACCAGCACCTGAGGAAGAGGTTCCTGTTGTGCAGGTAAATGGAGAAGGTCTAAAGGACATCATGGCCAGACACACAGTAAAAGCCCCAGCATATCCTAATACACACAATCTGCTTGAGAAGCAAAATCTCTCCCATTTGATAAGAGCTCGTAATGTTCCATGGACTATGCTAAACTCTCTAGAAGGATGATTGTGTCACTGAATTCCATGTGAGATATGCATGTTACTATCTTCATGTTTCACATTAAAAAACCAAGCCAGGCCGGGTGCAGTGGCTCACACCTGTAATCCCAGCACTTTGGGAGGCCGAGGCAGGCGGATCACTTGAAGTCAGGAAGGAGTTCGAGACCAGCCTGGCCAACATGGTGAAACTCTTTCTCTCCTAAAAATAAAACAAAAAATTAGCCGGGCATGGTGGCAGGCACCTGTAATCCCAGCTGCTCGGGAGGCTGAGGCAGGAGAATCGCTTGAACCCGGGAGGCAGAGGTTGCAGTGAACCAAGATCGTGCCACTGTACTCCAACCTCGGTGACAGAGTGAGGCTCCACCTCAAAAAAAAAAAAAAAAAACCAAGACAGAGAAGAATAAATTAACTAATCAATTTCAGACAACTCTCAAGCAATAAAGTGGGGACACGAACCAAAGTCCTCTAACTCCAAAAATTCCATGCTACCATCTCTCGGATTTTTTCTCATGATACCCACAGAATGAAATAACCTTGGTGGTGAAGGGGCTGAGAACCACTACTCGAAATCTACTAATAGGGCCAAGGGAAAAGATACATAATTTTTTTAAGGCCTAATAAGTAATGACATTTTCTTTTCTTTTCTTTTTTTTTTTTTTTTTTTTTGAGAGAGTTTCGCTTTTGTCACCCAGGCTGGAGTGCAATGGCGCGATCTCAGCTCACTGCCACCCCCTGGGTACAAGCGATTCTCCTGCCTCAGCCTCCCTAATTGCTAGGATTACAGGCGCCTGCCACCAGGCCCAGCTGATTTTTTTGTTATTTTTAGTAGAGACAGGGTTTCGCCATGTTGGCAAGGCTGGTCTCAAACTCCTGACCTCAGGTGATCCACCTGCCTCAGCCTCTTAAAGTGCTGGGATTACAGGTGTGAGCCACTGTGCCCCACCTGGTAATGACATTTTCTAAAACTCCAAGTGCTGTCAGACCTCACAGGCTAAAAAAGGCTGGTGGCAAAGGCCAAGGAGGCTTTGGAGGGCAACAAGGCTTCCAAGGAGGCAGAGGAGGAAGAAGAGACCACAGCTACAGGAAAGAGGATGAAGTTTGAAAAGCTTCTATCCTTGTCTTTTCCTCATCCATCTGAAAGGACTCGGGTTTTTACTCTGTGCCTGATCTATCACAGAGACTTCTGAGGACATTCCAAGACAGTCTACAGTCCTGTGGTCCACTTGGAAATTCAGACAGATAACATTTCAAGGGGATAGTTGGTTTTGACTGAATACTCATGAAAACTTTTAAAGAAGTGAGTGATAGAGCTAAACCATATCTGTAAGTTTTGTTGGTTTTTCTTTTTATTTTTTTGAGAAAGGGTCTTGCTCTGTCACCCAGCCTAGAGTGTGGTGGGGTGATCACGGCTCACTGCAGCCTCTATCTCCTGGGCTCAAGTGATCCTCCCATCTCAGCCTCCCAAGTAGCTGGGACTATAGGACTACACTACCACACCCAGCTAATTTTTTTTTTTTTTTTTCCCTGTAGAGTCAGGGTCTTGCCACATTGCTCAGGTTGGTCTCCAACTCCTGGGCTCAAGCAATCCACCCGCTTCAGCCTCCCAAAGTGGTGGGATTACTGGTGTGAGCCACTATGCCCAGTTTATGTTTTGAATTAATAGTTTCTTTTTTTTTTTTTTTGAGGCAGAGTCTTGCACTTCCCCCAGGCTAGAGGGCAGTGGCATGATGTCGGCTCACTGCAGCCTCCACCTCCCAGGTTCAGTGATTCTCCTGCCTTACCCTCCTGAGTAGCTAGGACTACAGGCGCCTGTCACCATGCCCAGCTAACTTTTGGAGTTTTTTTTAGCAGAGTCAGGGTTTCACCACATTGGCCAGGCTGGTCTTGAACTCCTGAGCTCAAGTGATCCGCCCACCCCAGCCTCCCAAAGTGCTGGGATTATAGGTGTGAGCCACAGTGCCCAGACGATATTGTTTCATCTCAAGTAAAAAAACCATTTTTTTCCAACAAATAATTTTTTTTGTTGTGGGGGTTGTAAAGGAAAGCAGAGTGTTTTATCAAGTTTTTTGCTTCAGTGGCTTTAGAACAATTTAAAAGTCAACTTTGGTGTCAGAAAAAAAGAGGACCATGAGGGAAATCCTCAGGTAAAACACATAAAATAAAGTGCAGCGATAGGCAGCTAAGTTAGTGGCATCCAATGCAAATGTCAGGAGGGTCGAGAGCAGTTTTCCCAAGCAAATGGTTCTCCCCACCTTCCTCTCCTTCAGTCTCTACCTCCTAGGGCCCAGGGGAGAAAACCAGAGAGGTAGCAGTGTCCACAGGAGAAACTGGGTTGGAAAACACTTAACACAGACTGCAGGGAAATCTCCAGAAACACTAACCAAGGTAAAAATGAAATAAAATTGAGAGACAAAGGGTTAACTTTAGTTTAGGTAAATTTAATGACTATAAAAGCTGTTCGCATAGCAGCTTTAAAGAGACACGCTTTCCACTGACATAAAGTTGCTTCACCCCTTGCAGCTTATCTCCACAGCTTCATGACGTCTCTCCTCAGCGGCCGGCAATGTCTCCCCTTCCTGTTGGGGAGGACTGCCCAAGTCAGCTCTGAGGCCATCCTCTCAAGTCAGCAATTTGCAGAGGAGTCCTTCAGAGTGGTCCTGCAGAGAACATGTCCCCTAAGTGTCTGAGAGCTGGCCGAGGTGATCTGAAAGAAAACCAGGCAGAAGAAGGCAAGGTAACTAGGACTGTACCACTGGGACTTCACATGGAGCCTCTAGAGGAGAAGCCCCTAAAAGGAGTCTGATGGAGGCGACTGGCTGGCACAGACCACATGGCTCCTGTGTGCCCCTGATCCTGGCAGGAAGAGAGGCCTCATGGAATGGCAATGTATATAATTTAAGAAGTCAAAGCAGGTCAGACCCAGACATGTCTCCCTTTTCTCCTGGAAGATGGCTCCTCCTCAACTCTAACCATAAAATTTAGGTGAAACTGCCCATCACAGACCCTGTCCTCCTAACTCCAAGGCTGAGCCAGTCAAATCCTTCCTTAGGATATTTACAGCCAACAATTGGTGAGAAATGTTCTCTCTCCTCCAACCGAGAGCTGAAAGAATGTGACCCAAAGTTATCTGTGGTCACATTTCTTACCATAAGAACAAGTCAGTCCATTAGTAAATACTTACTAAGTACATATTTTGTACCCGGAATTGCCCTAGGTGCTAGAAGATAAAGATAAACAAACAGAAACAAAACAGGCATATTCCCTGCCCTTAAAGGAACTTCTGTGGATGCTCTAGGGCATCAGTCTGTGTCCTGCCTAACCCATTAGTCCGTGTCCTGCCAGCTTCTGGTTCTGAGGCGAAGTGGACATGAGAACAAGACAGGGAAGGTGGCAGTAGCAGAACTGGGCAGTGTGAGAAGAGAAGGCAGAAGAAAGGAAGAAATGGAAGGAGAGAACAAAAGAAGCATATCGCCAGTGAAAGGGAGAAAGAAAGAGGGAAAATCCCACAGCCATATAGCTGATCTGCAAGTCCAGGGAAAAGACCCAAGAAACTTGAGCACATGTATGTTAGAGAGGCCTGAGCCGTCAGAGATCACAAAGAACACACTGATCTCCGTCAGCAAACACTCTCTACTCACTGGAAATCACTTATACCTCCTGGCCTCTCTGCAGCAAGAAACTACATGCCACTGCTTACTCCAAACTCACCGAATTCCCACAAAGAACCCTTCCAGGGCAGGGCAGGAGAAAAGGTAAGAAGAATAAGAAGGCATTAGTAAGGAGCAGTCTAAAATACAATCCAAAGTGCCCTTCCATTGTACTGGTTGAGAGGAGATTTTTATTTTACTAAAATATGTCTCTAGGAAAAAACTTTATTACCACAAATTATCCAAATCAACACTCATTTCAGTGCAAGCCGACAGCACAAAAGGACTCCTCACCTTCACCAGCACATAGTCCCCAGGCTGGGCTCTGACCCTGAACCCAGGGTTATTGACATCCTCCATCTCTACATCAGGGAAGATCACCTTAAGGTTTCCATCATTCCTGCCGCACAGGTCAGTGGCAGAGCGTTTACTGAGCTGCAGAAAGAAGAGAGAAGAGTTTATGGATTTGTCACAGTCGTAAGTTCTTGGAGGGTAGAACTTGTGCCTTCTCTGTCTTGGATCCCCAAGAGTCTGACCCACAGAGCAATCCTTAACCAAGGAATCAGTGAAGACTCAGTGTTTGCTGCTGCTTCACCAGCAAGGGCAGTGTATGGCCCACAATAGAAACACTAAAGTTTTGCTAACTATATTGTAATGAATCAATTAATCAATGAGTCTGTAGAGAACTGCCTTCTGCTAGAATGGACCTCCAACAGGCCTAAATCCAGAGACATATGAGTGATGCATTTGGAAAACCAACTGTCACTTTACCCAGTCTCATACTAATCACTCATGAATGTTCTGGGATTGTTTGGCCTGGATTACTTGCCGTTACTGAATAGACAGACTGAAAGGCAGAATCTCCATCACGACACCCAGAAGACAGAGCCAGGAAAATACTAACATCACTATGGGATTAACTTCTAGAGTCTACAGAAATCCTTCTCTTCCAGCCATGATAAAGAGAGAGAAACAAGTTTACCCTTCAGCCTTATAAATAATAACCAGCAAATTGGGCAAAATATATGAAACAACCGTTTTTGGATACTGGACAAAAGATCACACAAGACTGTGAACTGTGAGAGAAGGAAAACAAAGTGAGCCCCCCAATCACCCCTGCTTTCTGCCAGAAGGCACATGCCAGACGGGAGCCTGTGAAGCAGGAGGGGAGAGTTCAAGCACAGCACAGTGGTCCTCCCTGCGCTGAAGAGAGAGGGATCAGGGTCCAGGGAGCCTGAAATAGTTAGAAACTGTGAAGCAAATTCTAGAAAGGAGGGAGCAAAGCAGAAAAAGAATTTCAGAAATATGCAGGGGGTCCTTATGAGTCTTCGCTGAACACTAACACTCGCACAGGTAGCATAAAACTCCATGAAGTCAGGCAAAGAGAGTAACCTGGGAACTGTCCACTGAACAGTTCCGAGAACTCACATGTGGCTTGGAATCCACCACCAAATAGAAGAGTTTATGGATTTGTCACAGTCGTAAGTTCCTGGAGGGTAGAAATTATGCTCATTGGTTCCTTGGGATATATTTACTAGCAACTCCTGACAGAAGGCCACATCTTAGTAGTGAGGCCAAACTATCCAGAGAATAAAAAAGTTTTTTTGGCTAGGCGCGGTGGCTCACGCCTGTAATTTCAGCACTTTGGGAGGCTGAGGCGAGTGAATCACCTGAGGCGAGTGAATCACCTGAGGTCAGGAGTTTGAGATCAGCCTGGACAACATGGCGAAACCCCATCGTTACTGAAAATACAAAAATTAGCCAGGCATGGTGGCGCACATCTGTAGTCCCAGCTACCCGGGAGGCAGAGTTTGCAGTGAGCCGAGATCATGCCACTGCCCTCCAGTATGGGCAACAAAGTAAGCCTCCGTCTCAAAAATTAAAAAAATAAAAAAATAAAAAATAAAAAAAGGAAGGGAGGGAGGGAAGGAACAATCTCTGTGATCTCTGGGACAGTATCAAGTGGTTGGACATATGTGTAATTGAAGTACTGAAGTGGTGGAGGTGGGTGGAAGAGGAAGCAGAGCAAAAAAAATCTGAAGAGTAACTGGTGAAGTTTTTCCAGATTTGATGAAAACTATAACCCCAGAAACTAAGAAGCCTCAAAAAAATCCCAAAGAAAACACAAAGGGGTAAACACAAAGAAAACCACCCCCAGCCACATCAAATTCCTAAAAACAGTGATAAAGCAAAATCTTAAAAGCAGCCAAAGAAAACGGCATAGAGTAAAGAAGAATGACCACAAACCTGTCAGAATCATGTATGTCAGAAGTCAACAGAATGATACCTTCAAAATGTCAACCTAAAAGTCAACACTCGGTGAAAATATATTTTTAAAAGGAAGGTGAAATAAAGATCTTTTCAGACAAACAAAACCTGAGCGGCATCACTGCCAAAAGACCTGCATTACAAGCGATGTTAAAAGAAGCCTTTCAAGCACAAACAAAACGATGCCCAGTGGAAACGTGAACGTACACAAGGGATGAAGAATGCCAGAAATAGTAAATGAGTGGGTAAATACAGACTTTTTTCTCTCATTTATTAAAGTTCCTCTAAAAGATAATTGTTTAAAGCAAAAATAACAATGATTTAGGGATACAAAAGTAAAACTCTGGAACAATAGCACAGAAGAAGGAGGAAGGGACAGAAGTATATCATTATAAGAATCTTACATTAAACACACTGAGTGATACCCAGTCTGGGGTTAAAATAATGAGCCAAAAAGAATCCAAAGGGCACATAATCTGCCATTAGAAAATCAAGTTCTGACTACATGCTATATTCTTAAGTAATCAAAGACGCAGGAAGGAGTTCAGTCTTTTTTTTTTTTTTTTTTTTTTTTTTTGAGACGGAGTCTTGCTTTGTCGCCCAGGCTGGAGTGCAGTGGCCGGATCTCAGCTCACTGCAAGCTCCGCCTCCCGGGTTCACGCTATTCTCCTGCCTCAGCCTCCCGAGTAGCTGGGACTACAGGCGCCGCTACCACGTCCGGCTAATTTTTTTGTATTTTTAGTAGAGACGGGGTTCCACCGTGTTAGCCAGGATGGTCTCAATCTCCTGACCTCGTGATCCGCCCGTCTCGGCCTCCCAAAGTGCTGGGATTACAGGCTTGAGCCACCGCGCCCGGCCAGGAGTTCAGTCTTTAAATGAATACCGCTTTAGGGAAACAACCTTCAGCTGAGGTTTAGAGCCTCTACTATTTCCTACAAAATACTTACTAGTTACAAAAGGAAAAAGAGTAACTTTACAGTCAAGAAGGCTGGGAGACAGTATCTTCCATGTTTTCAAAGTTAACATCATCAGTAATGAGACAAATCAAAACTGTACGCCACCTCACAGGATACGATTAGAATACAACGTCCTCTCTCTGGTATTCCTGCCAAAGAATGCATAACCTGAATCTTATCATGAAAATACATCAAATTAGGGACATTCTACAAAATAACTGGCCTGTAATCTTTAAGTGTCAAGGTCATGGAAGTCAAAGAAATAATGAGGAACCATCCTAGACTAAAGGAGACTAGAGAGACATGACAGTTAAATGCAACATGTGGTACTAAACCAAATCCTTTTCCTATAAAGGACAGTTTGAAGACAACTGGAGAAACTTACATGGGGTCTCAGGATTAGATAGTAGTAATCTAACAAGGTTAATTTCCTGATTTTCATAGTTATACTACAGTTATCTAGGAGAATGTCCCTGTTTGTACAAGATACACATTACAGTATTTGGGGGTTTAGGGACATCAGGGCAGCAACTTACTCTGAAATGATTCAAGGGTCTTTGTAATACACTGCAACTTCCCTATGGATTTGCAGTTGTTTTACAATAAATTTTTTTTTAAAAAGAGAGTTCAGGCCAGTGCAGTGGCTCATGCCTGTAATCCCAAAACTTTGGGAGGCTGAGGTAACAGGATTGCATGAGGCAAGGAGTTTGAGACCAATCTGGGCAACACAGCAAAACCCAATCTCTACAAAAAATTTGAAAAATTAGCCAGGCATGGTTGTACACATTATAGTACCAGCTACTCAGGAGGCTGAAGCAGGAGGGTCATGTGAGCCCAGGGAGTTCAAGGATATGGTGAGCTATTGTTACACCACCACACTCCAGCCAGGGCGACAGAGCGAGAGACTTTCTCTCAAAAAATATAAAAAATAAATGATAAAATCAATTAAATTGAGAGTTCAGGTTCTATGATTTGAAAAAAACCAAGTGTAAAAGAACATTCATGAGACAAACAGGGAAATTAGAACACTGAGCAAATATTTGATAATATTAAGAAAGCTGGAAGTGCTTTGGAAATCTAAAACGAATATTAAGAAACTGTTGTCAATTATTGTCAGATATAATAGCACTTTGTTTATAATTTTTTTTAAAGTCTTTATCTTAAAGGCATATATACTGAAGTATTTACTGAAGAAATATCTTTTTTTTTTGAGATGGAGTCTTGCTATGTCACCCAGGCTGGAGTGCAATGGTGTGATCTTGGCTCACTGCAACCTCCGCCTCCCAGGTTCAAGCAATTCTCCCACCTCAGCCTCGTGAGTAGCTGGGACTACAGGTGTGCACCACCATACCTGGCTAATTTTTGTTTTTTCAGTAGAGACGGGGTTTCACCATGTTGAACAGGATGGTATTGAACTCCTGACCTCAAGTGATCCACCCACTTCAGCCCCCGAAAGTGCTGGGATTACAGGCGCAAGCCACTACGGCCAGCCTCCATGTCTACATATGTTTAAAATTCTCCATAATGCAAAAAAAAAAAAAAAAGGCAGAGTGATTATAGACACTGGAGATAGAGCTGTATCAAATACTGACTCTGCCACACACTAGCTGTGTAACCTTAGGGAAGTTATGCCCTGTCTCTGAGGTCAGTACCCTCATGCACAAAAGGGAGCTAATAACAGCACCTTTCTCCAAGGACAGTGGTGGCATTCTGTGCTGATGGCCATAAAGTGCACAGTTCCTGGCAGACAGTAAATGCTGAGTGATGTGAGCCATTATCATCTTTTCTGCCACTCTGGACAGAGCAACTTGGTGTTTTAAATTGGCCATGTCTGGAGGAAAGAAAGTCTCCTCTAAGAGAAAGCAATGACTCCAACTGCTAGCCTTGAAAAACCTATTTATTCTCTAGCCCCAAGTAAGTAATGGCTATGTTGGATGTTTAAGAAAGAGCTTTGTGGTCGAGAGCAGTGGCTCACACCAGTAATTGCAACTCTGGGAGGCCGAGGTGGGTGGAGTACCTGAGGTCAGGAGTTTGAGAGCAGCCTGGCCAATATGGTGAAATCCTGTCTCTACTAAAAATACAAAAATTAGCTGGGCATGGTAGTGGGTGCCTGCGATCCCAGCTACTCTGGAGGCTGAGGCAGGAGAATTGCTTGAGCCTGGGAGGCAGAGATTGCAGTAAGCCAAGATCGTGCCACTACACTCCAGCCTAAGCGAAAGAGTGAGACTCCGTCTCAAAAACAAAAACAAAAAACGGCCAGGCATGGTGGCTCGTGCCTGTAATCCCAGCACTTTGCGAGGCTGAGGTGGGCGGATAACTTCGAGACCACCCTGGCCAACATGATGAAACCCTGTCTCTACTAAAAAAATGTAAAAATTAGCCAGGCATGGTGATACACACCTGTAATCCCAGCTACTCAGGAGGCAGAGGCAAGAGAATCGCTTGAACCTGGGAAGCAGAGGTGGCAGTGGGCTGAGACTGCCACCGTACTCCAGCCTGGGCAAAAGAGCGAGACTCCACCTCAAAAAAAAGGCCGGGCCTGGTGGCTCACACCTGTAATCCCAGCACTTTGGGAGGCCGAGGCGGGTGGATCACGAGGTCAGGAGATCGAGACCATCCTGACTAACACAGTGAAAACCCGTCTCTACTAAAAATACAAAAAATTAGCCAGGCATGGTGGTGGGCACCTGTATCCCAGCTACTCGGGAGGCTGAGGCAGGAGAATGGCGTGAACCCAGGAGGCGGAGCTTGCAGTGAGCTGAGATCTTGCTGCTGCACTCCAGCCTGGGTGACAGAGTGAGACTCCGTCTCAAAAATAAATAAATAAATAAATAAATACTTTTTTTGCGTAAATCTAACAAAACATGGACAAAATCTGTATATTGAAAACTACAAAAACTTTGATTTAAAACATCAGCCTGTGGTCCCAGCTACTTGGGAGGCTGAGGCAAGAGGATCACTTGAGCCCAGCAGTTTGAGTACAGCCTAGGCAACATAGTAAGGAAAAAAAAAATCAAAGATCTAATGTTCTGAAACATAAAAAACAACATAATAACACAAACACATATGGCCTCACCCCTTCCACTAGCACCAGCTGGGTACAGCCCACAGAGATCTGATTGGCTTTTGTTGCTTCTTCACGGAAGACAGTGATAAGTTCCTCCAAACGCCTTAATTTTACTTCTTCCGGGACATCATCCTTCAGCCTATGATATGCCCGTGTCTTCTATTAAAAAAAAAGAGGAAACAGAGGTCACCCAGGACTTGTAGAATCTATTCTTAATGCACAGAGGGACACCATGTTCATTCTACCTACAAGTTACAGACACATGTACAGAAACCCAAGCCAGAGCCAAGAGCTTTCTCTGGCTCTGGGAGCATTCCAAGATAGAAATGTAGTGGAGTCACATTTTTGCAAGGGTTAAATTCTAAATTTAGCACATGAAAATCACAGACTCAAAATTACTCTTCATATTTATCCTAACATTACACTTATACATATACCAAATGGCTCATATACACTAGGTTACTCAGCAGCACTATTTATAAAGACATAAGATGCAATGCAGCCTAAATGTTTCATTAGGCAAGTAGTCACAGAAATTATGGTTTATCTATACAAGGAATATTGTGCAGCTATTAAACAGAATGATAGTTCTATATGTACTAATGTGGATTGTTCTCCAAAATCTACTGTTACTTGAAATAAGCAAAGTACAGATGAACACATATAACTTTGGTGTAGACAGAATACATACAGGCATGCTTATGAAAACATGAAATATCCTCAGAAAGTTATAAAAGAAATTGCGAAGAGTAGTTGCCTTAAGGGAAGGAACTAAAACATTAGGCAACCTAGGAAGAAGGAAGAACTACTCATGTACACCACTTAAACTTTTGAATTTTATACCACAAGCATGTATTACCTAGTCCAAAAGAAAAAAGGGAATTTATCCTTAAAACGCCTTTAAATCATTCAAAACCACAGTGTGTATATATATCTTTATGGCATGAGCTCATGCTCAGTACAGCTGGAGAACCACTGAGCTAGACAAAAGTATGGAATAAAAGGAGTATCTATATACCAAAGTCTGGACATTCAAACCAGTCTGCCTTGAAGAGAAGATCCACAGAGGAAAATGGAGAATCCTAAAAATATTGCAGAGTTTACTCCATTCTGTCTACTAACAACAATAACTTACCTCTGTTGTGCATTTACTATGCATGAAACACAACTGTAACTGCTTTAAACATATTATCTTACTTAATCCCCAGAACAACCCTATGACGTTGGTACTAATGTTATCCCCATTTCACAGATGAGGAAACCAAGACATTTGCCCAATGTCACACAGTTTTTGTTTTTTGTTTTTGTTTTTGAGACAGAGTCTCGCTCTGTAGCCCAGGCTGGAGTGCAGTGGCACGATCTCAGTTCACTGCAAGCTCCACTTCCCGGGTTCACGCCATTCTCCTGCCTCAGCCTCCCGAGTAGCTGGGACCACCACGCCTGGCAAATTTTTTGTATTTTTCGTAGAGACGGGATTTCACCGTGTTAGCCAGGATGGTCCCGATCTCCTGACCTCGTGATCTGCCCACCTCGGCCTCTCAAAGTGCTGGGATTACAGGCATGAGCCACCGCGCCCAGCCAATGTCACACAGTTATTAAGTGGCAGAGGCACAATTTGAGTGCTTGCTCTCATTCACTAGGTTCTTGATTAAGTTCCTGTAACCTTAACCCTAACTTAGGAATTCAGTCCCAAAATGAACATTCATATTCACTTACCATAGGATGCTTCTCCCACACGCTGAAAACCCATTTCCCATCCCTAGGATTTTTTTTTTTCTTTGAGATAGGGTCTCACTCTGTTGCCAAAGTGGAGTACAGTGACACAATCTTGGCTCACCACAGCTTCAACCTCCCAGGCTCAAGTGATCCTCCCACTTCAGCCTCCCAAATAGCTGGGAACACAGGCATGTGCCACCACACTTGGCTTTTTCTTTTTTTTTTTTTTTTTTTTTTGTAGAGACAGGGTCTCCCTGTTACCCAGGTTGTTCTGAAACTCCTGGGCTTAAGTGATCCTCCCACCTCTACCAATCCTAGTATTAAAAAGATTTTCTCAGGCCAGGCGCAGTGGCTCACGTCTGTAATCTCAGCACTTTGGGAAACTAAGGTGGGCAGATCATGTGAGGTTAGGAGTTGGAGACCGGCCTGACCAACATGGAGAAACCCTATCTCTACTAAAAATACAAAATTAGCCGCGCGTGGTGGCACATGCCTGTAATCCCAGTTACTCAGGAGACTGAGGCAGGAGAATAGCTTGAACCCAGGAGGCAGAGATTGCGGTGAGCTGTCATGCCATTGCACTTCAGCCTGGGCAACAAGAGCAAGACTCTGTCTCAAAAAATTAAAAAAAGAATTTATCTTGGGAGGCTGCGGTGGGTGGATCACGAGGTCAAGAGAGCAAGACCATCTTGGCCAACATGGTGAAACCCTGTCTCTACTAAAAAATACAAAAATTAGCCGGGTATGGTGGCATGCACCAGTAATCCCAGCTACTCGGGAGGCTGAGGCAGGAGGATCGCTTGAACCCAGGGGTGGAGGTTGCAGTGAGTCAAGATCACACCTCTGCCCTCCAGCCTGGCGACAGAGTGAGACTCTGTTTCAAAAAAAAAAAAAAAAGAATTTCTCTTGCATATTTGTGATGTCCATGGAAAAAAAGCAAAATAGAAACAGTTCCTCTGAAGCTTCATCTCTCCAAAACGATAAAAGAGAGATGAATAGATACATACATCGGCACAGTTACGCTGTCCACAGAACACTATGCAGTGGCTTTAAAACAAATGAATTAGTCGAGGTGTCATGACTCACACCTTTAATCTCAGCACTTTGGGAGACCGAGGGGGAAGGACTGCCTGAGCAAAACACTGCTTCTTAAAAAAACAAAAAAAATAGTTTGGTTGATGGCAGCTCAGTAACAATGACAATGAAGTCATGGGTTCAGTCATTCGTCAGCCAGCTTTTCTGAGACCCCTGGCCACAGGGACCTTCAATCTCCTGCTCAAACACAAGCACACTGCCACAAAGGTGACTGAGGGAATGAGGAGTGAACCATGCAAATCCATGCCTACAATCAAGAAAATGACAGTCAACCAGGACTATCCTTCTCTGCAGGAAAAGTGCACTAATCTCTCCTTTCCTAATCTCCTTCTGCTTTGTTTTCCTGGAAATCTGTTTTGTTTCTTGGGAAGCTTCCAAGTGAGTTCACTTGCCTAGGAAAACAGAAATGAGGAACCACTGAGGATGGTTGCGAAGATGACTAGGGGCCCCGGTAAAATAAATCACACCTGCAGACCAAAAAGGAGTTCTGCATGTTAAGAAACAATCTTAGATTTCTTATAAAGAAAAGGTTTTCTCCTTCCATATTCAAATTGTAAACAATCTAAACATAATGTTAAAATATTTTAATGAAGAGGAATACTGGCACAGTAATCATGTATCACCAAACTGCTGAACTATTTCAAAGAGTAGACAGAGTGGACTAGAAAAATGAAAGGAAGTGAATCATAAGAGCCTGTGGTTTCTCAAGGACTGCCTTGAGACCACTCTCTTTTCTGCCCAGATCTCTACAATCACCTCCAAACTGGTCAGGAATGATGTCAGTGCTCCCCAACCCCAGGACTCACCTGTCTCATGCTGTAGGCAAAGAGGAAGCCCATGTTGTACTGAACTTCCCGGAGCAAAGAGACTGTCTGGACGTGATCTTCCTCCGTCTCACCACAAAAGCCAGCAATGAAGTCGCTGCTGAGGCTCACACCTGTGACACACAGCAAAGGACGACAGGTCACTGCTGTTTACCTTCAAGGGAGGCCTTTGGCATATGTGGATTACAAGGGAGGGATAGCAACTGTAAGGCCCTCCCTAGGACTATTCAGCCCATGCATAAGTAAAACAAATAGTACAGAGTAAGGCAGGATGGGCCTCTTCATCCACAGCATTCCATGACAGAGACCAGCTTCTTGGCCTACATTTCCCCTAAGCACTAGAAAAGGTATTTCCACTTCCAGTGCTGCATTTAGGGACACAGTAGGAGTCCACATTTTCATTTCAGTCCTTCAGTTTTTACCAGTGAAAAGCTTGTGGTGTTTCATACAAAAATATATTTCTGAATTTGGTTTCATATAACGGTCATTTAAGACAGTAGTAGCAGCTGGGTGCAGTGGCTCACCCCTGTAATCCTAGCACTTTGAGAGACTGAGGTGGGCGGATCACTTGAGGTTAGGAGATCGAGACCAGCCTGGCAAAACCCCATCTCTACAAAAAAATACAAAAATTAGACAGGCATGGTGGTGTTCAACTCTAGTCCCAGCTGCTCAGGAGGCTGAGGTGTGAGGATCACCTGAGCCCAGGGAGGTCAAGGCTGCGGTGAACTGTGTTCATGCCACTACACTCCAGCCTGGGCGACAGAATGAGAGCCTATCCCCCGCAAAATAATTATTCCAATGACCCAATGAGGTGAGTACTATTAACTCCATTTTCCACATGAGAAAGCTGCAGCCCAAAGAAATGAAGTCACTTATCTGCTACCACACAGCCTGTAACAGTGGAGCTTCACCCATAGTCACATACCTAGACTCCGCATTACCCTGCCCCATCAAAATGAAAGTCTTTGTGCATAAAAGTTACAATAATTAGGCCGGGTGCAGCGGCTCATGCCTATAATCCCAATACTTTGGCAGGCTGAGGCAGGCAGATCACTTGAGGTCAGGAGTTCAGGACCAGCCTGGGCAACATGGTAAAACCCGTCTCTACCAAAAAAAATACAAAAATTAGCTAGGCGTGGTAGCCTATAGTCTTGGCTACTTGGGAGGCTGAGGTACAAAAATCGCTTGAACTTGGCAGGCAGAGGCTGCAGTAAGCCGAGATTGCACCACCACACTCTAGCCTGGGCAATAGAGCAAGATTCTATCTCAAAAAAACAAAAAACAAACAAAAAAAAACAGTTATAATTAGAAATTTTGGGAAAAATGTATACACCCACAACCAAATCTAAACTAAAAGACTACAGACTATTTTATTAGGAGGAAGAGGACAGAGGAGAATATAGAATAAGATAATATGAAAGGAATTATCTTTAAAATTTACAGTAATAAGTTGCCATAAAGCTAGTTAGAAAAAGTACACATTTTAAAAGATATCAATTGCTCTCAAATCAGAAATAATTTAGACATAACTTTGTCACCGTACAAGATGAGATAAGGTCTTTCCTCTATGTCCAGAAATACAAAGACCATAGAAAAGGAGTTTCTATAGCCTCGAGACCACAAGGTCATCCATACCTGAGTATTTCCAGCAGGACTAAGACAACAAAAAGTCAGAAACACATAAAAGAAAGAATACAAAGAGAGAGAAAGAGAAAGAAGAAGAGCACAAGAAGTATGAAATTGTGTCACAGCCAGGCGCAGTGGCTCAAGCCTGTAATCCCAGCACTTTGGGAGGCCGAGATGGGCGGATCACGAGGTCAGGAGATCGAGACCATCCTGGCTAACACAGTGAAACCCCGTCTCTACTAAAAAGTACAAAACACTAGCTGGGCAAGGTGGCGGGCGCCTGTAGTCCCAGCTACTCAGGAGGCTGAGGCAGGAGAATGGCGTAAACCTGGGAGGCGGAGCTTGCAGTGAACTGAGATCCGGCCACTGCACTCCAGCCTGGGCAACAGAGCGAGACTCCGTTTTAAAAAAAAAAAAAAAAAAAAAACAGACATTGTGCCACAAGGAAATACCAAAGGTGATGACGGCTGCCTGTATCTAACAACAAGGCTGGTCACTGGTAGAGTAACATGCACAGCAGAATGGGTTTCTTAAATATACCTGGAATAGATTCTCTGATATGGTGAACTAACTCCACATAAGCTTCTCTTGAATATCTGCAATAAAGAACAAAAGGAAAAGGCCTACATAAATCCAATCTTTTTAAATGAATGCTACAAAAAGATAACACTATGAATTCCCACGTGTAATCACTTCTCATCCACATGGCAGGGCACACGAGTAGATTAAAGTATCCAAAAGAGCCCTTTTGATCCAAGCTGTATCTTCTAATCTAGAGCCTATGGATTTTAATTTCAAGGACATAAACTTTTTTTTTTTGAGACAGAGTCTCACTCTGTCTCCCAGGCTGGAGTGCAGTGGCACAATCTCAGCTCACTGCAGCCTCAAACTTCTGGGCTCAAGTGATTCTTCCACCTCAGCCTCTCAAGCAGCTGGGACCACAGATATGCACCACCTACACCCAGCTAGTGTGTGTGTGTTGTGTGTGTGTGTGTGTGTGTGTGTGTGTAGAGACTGGGTTTTGCCATGTTGCCCAGGTGTGTGTGTGTAGAGACTGGGTTTCGCCATGTTGCCCAGGTGTGTGTGTGTAGAGACTGGATTTTGCCATGTTGTGCAGGGGTGGGGTGTGTGTGTGTGTGTGTGTGTAAAGACTGGGTTTCCCCATGTTGCCCAGGCTGGTCTATTCTCAAACTACTGAGCTCAGGCAATCTGCCCACCTCAGCCTCCAGATTAAACATTTTAGAGGACCTCTAGAACACTATGCCCTGTGGAAAAAGACAAAGCACTAATTCCATACAGCTTGCCTTGAGACACATTCTCCCTTCAGTCTCATCTGTGTAATACTTATTATTCTCAAAGAAAGTGAACACATAGAGTGACATTTAAATTCTAAGATGTAACAAAACCTTAATGTTAACATTACAGAATTAAAATCTCAGAGTGTGCCACACCATAGATGCTTAATTTAAAAAAACATACTAAACAGTGAAAATGGGTGACCCAGTCCTTAGCCTATGCTTATGGAATTAGCAGAAGCAAGCTCCAGTGTCATACAATAAATACTCACTGGCACACAGTAGCTGCTCAGTAAATATTTACGTTTTTTAAACTACACAGTGAAAATGGGTGACCAGTCCTTAGCCTTTGCTTATGGAGTGAGCAGAAGCAAACTCCAGTGCCCAGTGGCTTAGTCATACAATAAATATTTACTGAGCAGCTACTGTGTGCCACACACTACGCTAGGTTCTTGGCAACAAAGACACTGTTTGGTCATTAAGAAAACATGGAAAAGTGGGGGATGCCCCCTCTCCAAGCAAGTCTGACCCCCTCCGCATGGCCTCCAACACACGGCTGCTTCCACTCTGGGCTGGTAGGTGGATCTGTTTACAGATGTTATCTCTCTCATGAATCAGCTGCAGAACCTGATGAAACAGAACACATTATAGATAATCAAAATCTCACCAAAAAACCTTACAGAAAGCAACACCGCTCTTGCTATGTATCCTCCAAGGTTAATTTTCACATAATAAAGAGGCTAATTAAACCAAACACACAAATAACCTATTCCCTAACTTTTGTTCAAGCCCCCTTCTGTTGTCCCAGACATTTCACCTAATGGCATCTCTGCTTTCAAAGAGTAGAGAGAAGAAGCCAGGCGCGGTGGCTCACGCCTGTAATCCCAGCACTTTGGGGGGCCGAGACGGGCGGATCACGAGGTCAGGAGATCGAGACCATCCTGGCTAACACGGTGAAACCCCGTCTCTACTAAAAATACAAAAAAAAATCAGCCGGGCGAGGTGGCGGGCACCTGTAGTCCCAGCTACTCGGGAAGCTGAGGCAGGAGAATGGCGTGAACCCGGGAGGCAGAGCTTGCAGTGAGCCAAGATCGCACCACCGCACTCCAGTCTGGGTGACAGAGCGAGACTCCATCTCAAAAAAAAAAAAAAATCAAAGAGTAGAGAGAAGCAAGCAAGCAGAGGTCAGATTAAAGCCATGGAGCTGAATACAGGTAGTGCTGACACTAGGGTCAGCAGGCAAAGAAGGCAAAAATGGCACTTCTTTCATCTAGCTTACAACAAACTAGTCACTTTCTTTTTTTTTTTTTGAGACAGAGTTTTACTCCCTCACCCAGGCTGGAGTACAGTGGTGCCATCTCAGTTCACTGCAACCTCTGTCTCTTGGGTTCAAGCGATTCTCCTGCCTCAGCCTCCCTAGTAGCAGGGATTACAGGTGCGAACCACCACGCCTGGCTAATTTTTGTATTTTTAGCAGAGACGATGCTGCCCAGGCTGATCTAGAAATACTGACCTCAAGTTATCTGCCTGCCTCAGCCTCGCAAAGTGCTGGGATTACAGGTGTGAGCCACCATGCCCAGGCCAAACTAGTCACTTTTAAACATACCATCAGGCCAGGTGTCATGGCTCACCTCTGTAATCCCAGCACTTTGGGAGGCCAAGGCAGGAGGATTACTTGAGGCCAAGAGTTCAAGACCAGCCTGGACAACACAGCAAGGCCTTGGGTCTATTTTTTTTTAATTTTTAAAAGAAGAAAAAAGGGGGGGGGAAAAAAAGATGCTATCAAAAAACTGATACTAGGGTAAAATATTTGAAAACATATTGTCAAAGGATTTGAATCAAGAATACATAGAGGCCGGGCGTGGTGGCTCACCCTTGTAATCTCAGCACTTTGGGAGGCTGAGGTGGGCAGATCATTTGAGGTCAGCAGTTTGAGACCAGCCTGGTCAACATGGTAAAATCCCGTCTCTACTAAAAATACAAAAATTAGCTGGGCATGGTGGTGTGCACCTGTAATCCTAGCTACTCAGGAGGCTGAGGCAGAAGAATCACTTGAACCCTGGAGGCAGAGGTTGCAGTGAGGCCAGATCATGTCACTGCACTCTAGCCTGGGTGACAGAGCGAGACTCCATCTCAAAAAAAAAAAAAAAAAGAAAGAAAAAAGAAAAAGAAAAGAAAACATAAAGAGAATGGAGCCCAGTCTCTCTCCTTCATTGCAAGAAAGGCCGTTTTGCAGTGGTCAAAAAATTAAAGGATATATAAAGAACTTTTACAACTGAATAAGAAGACAATCCAGAGGAAAAAAGATGAAAGTGGGGGCCAAAAGAAAGACATTTCACTGAAACCAAAAACCTCCAATAGAAGGTTTCAGATGCAGGCTACCTACTCCATGCCAGGCCCTATGCTAAGTACCTTTGACACAATACAGGCATACCTCAGAGATATCACAGGTTTGGTTCCAGATCACCACAATGACAAGAATATTACAATAAAGTGAGTGACACAAATGTTCTGGTTCCCCAGTGCAAATAAAAGTTATATTTACTCTATACTGCAGTCCATTAAGTGAAAACAATGTACATACCTTAATTTCATTATACTTAAATTTTTAAAAATATATTGAGATAGGGTCTTAGTCTATCGCCCTCACTAGAGTGCAGTGAAACCATAGCTCACCCCAACCTTGAACTCCTAGACCAAGCGATCCTCCTGCTGCAGCCTCCCAAGTAACTATGACTACAGGCATGTGCTACGATGCCCAGCTAATTTTTTTATTTAAAAATTATAGGGTCAGGCACACTGGCTCACACGTGTAATCCCAGCACTTTGGGAGGCCGAGGCGGGAGGATCACGAGGTCAAGAGTTCAAGACCAGCCTGGCCAACATGGTGAAACCCCGTCTCCACCAAGAACACAAAAATTAGCCAGGCGCGGTGGCACGCACCTGTAGTCCCCGCTTCTTGGGAGGTGAGGCAGGAGAATTGCTTGAACCCGGGAGGCAGAGGTTGCAGTGAGCCAAGATCATGCCACTGCACTCCAGCCTGGGCGACAGGGCAAGACTCAGTCTCGAAAAAAAACAAAAATAAAAATTATAAAGTTGTTATGTTGCCTGGGCTGGTGTCCAACTCCTAGGCTCAAGTGATTCTCCTGCCTCAACCTCCCAAAGTGCTGGGATTACAGGGATGAGTCACCACACCCACCCTTAGAATACTTTATTGCTAAAAAAAATGCTAACGATCATCTGAGCCTTCAAGTGAGCAATGGTGCTGGCTGCTGATTGATCAGGGTGGTGGCTGCAGAAGGTGGGTGTGGCTGTGACAATTTGTTAAAACAAGACAACGATGAAGTCGGCCACATCAAATGACTCTTTCATGAAAGACTGCTCTATAATATGCGATGCTGTTTGATAGTATTTTATCCACAATAGAATATTTATTCTATAATAATATTTTACCCCAATAGAACATCTTTCAAAACTGCAGTCCTCTCAAACCCTGCCACTGTTTTATCAACTAAGTTTATGCAATATTCTAAACACTTTGTTGTCATTTCAATAATATCCATAGCATCTTCACCAGGAGTAGATTCTATATCAAGAAACCATTTTCAGGCCAGGCACGGTGGCTCATGCCTGTAATCCCAGAACTCTGGGAGGCCCAGGTGGGTGGATCACTTGAGGTCAGGAGTTCAAGACCAGCCAGGCCAACATGGCATAACCCCATCTCTACTAAAAATACAAAAAAATTAGCTGGGCGTGGTGGCAGGTGTCCATAATCCCAGCTACTTGGGAGGCTGAAGCAGGAGAATTACTTGAACCTGGATGCCGAGGTTGCAGTGAGCCAAGATTGCAACACAGCACTCCAGCCTGGGCGATAGAGTGAGACCCGTCTCAAAAAAAAAAAAAAAAGAAACCATTTTCTCTGCTCATTCATAAGAAGCAACTCCTCATTCATTGAAGTTTGACCATGAGATTGCAACAATTCAGTCACATCTTCAGGCTCCACTTCTAATTCTAGTTCTCTTGCTATTTCCACCACATCTACAGTTATTTCCTCTACTGAAGTCGTGAGCCCCTCAAAATCATCCACGAGTGTTGAAATCAGTGTCTTCCAAACTCCTATTAATGTTGACATTTCGACCTGTTCCCATGAATCATTAATGTTCTTAATGGCATCTAGAATGATGAACTATTTCCAGAATGTTTTCAATTTACTCTGCCCAGATCCATCAGAGAAGCCATTATCTATGACAGCTATAGCTTTATGAAACATATTTCTTAAATAATAAGAATCGATCTTATATAAACTAAAAATTAAAATAATAGGGCTTGAAAGTTGAAATTACTCCTTGATCCATGGGCTGCAAAATGGATATTGTGTTAGCAGGCATAAAAACAACACTAATAATCTCTCTGTACATCTCTATCAGAGCTCTGGGATGACTTAGGTGCATTGTCAATGAACAGTCATATTTAGAAAGGAATCTTTTTTCCTAAGCAGTAGGTCTTGACAGTGAGCTTAAAATACTCAGTTAACTAGACAAGCACAGTGGCTTATGCCTGTAATCCCAGCACTTTGGGAGAATGAGGGAGAAGGAGCACTTGAGTCCAAGAGTTTGAGACCAGCCTGCGCAACACAGGGAGACACCAACTCTACAAAAAATTAAAAATTAAATATTCAGTAAATCATGCTATAAACAGGTGTGCTATCATCCAGGCTTTGTTCCTCTATTTATAGAGTACAGGCAGAGATTTAACATCATTCTTAAGGGCCCTAGGATTTTCAAAATGGCACATGAGCACTGGCTTCAACTTAAAGTCACCAGCTGCCCTGGCCCCTAAAGAGAGTCTGGCTGGGCGCAGTGGCTCACGCCTGTGATCCCAGCACTTTGAGAGGCCTAGGTGGGAGAACTGCTTGAGGTCAGGTGCTCAAGACCAGCCTGGGCAACACAGCAAGACCCCACCTCTAATTTTTTTTAAAAGAAAACAAAAGAAAGTCAGCCTGTCCTTTAAAGCTTTGAAGAATGGCACTGACACTCTTCTCTAGCTATGAAAGTCTCAGAGGACATCTTCTTCCAATAGAAGACGGCTCATTTACACAAAAAATCTGTTGTTTAGTAGAACTACCTTCGTCATTGATCTTAGCTAGATCTTCTGGATAACTTGCGCAGCTTCTACATCAGCACTGTGGCTTCCCCTTGCACTTTGATGTTAGAGAGATGGCTTCTTTCCTCAAACCTTGTAAGTCAACCTCTGCTAGCTTCAAACTTTTCTTCTTCAGCTTCCTCACATCTCTTGGCCTTCAGAGAACTGAAGAGAGCTAAGGCTTTACTCTGGATTAGGTTTTGGCATAAGGCAGTGCTGTGGCTTCTTTGATCTTCTCTTCAGATCACTGAAGCTTTCTCCGTATCAGTAAAAAGGCTGGTTTGGGTTGGTGGGTTTCGTTTTTTTGTGTTTTTTTTTGAGATGGAGACTCACTATATTGCCCAGGCTGGAATGCAGTGGCACAATCTCGGCTCACTGCAACCTCTGCCTCCTGGATTCAAGCAATTCTCCAGCCTCAGACTCCCAAGCAGCTGGGATTACAGGTATGTACCATCAAACCCAGCCAATTTTTCTATTTTTAGTAAAGACAGCATTTTGCCATGTTGACCAGGCTGGTCTAGAACTCCTGACCTCAGATGATCTGCCCACCTTGGCCTCCCAAAGTGCTGGGATTAAAGGTGTGAGCCACCACACCCAGCCAAAAGGGCTGTTTTGTTTTCTTATCATTCATGTGTTCAGTGGAGTAGTACTTTTAATTTCCTTCATAAACTTTTCCTTTGCATTTACAACTTGGCTGGTTGGCATAAGAGGCCTTTCAGCCTAGCTCGGCTTTCAACATGATTTCCTCAGTAAGTTTAAACATTTCTGGCTTTTGATTTCAAGTGAGAGCTGTGCGACCTTTCCCTTCACTTGAGCACTTTAGAGGCCACCGTAGGGTAATTAAATGGCCCAATTTCAATATTGTTGTGTCTCGGGGAATAGGGAGGGCTGAGGAGAGGGAGAGAGATGGGGGAATGGCCGTCAGTGGAGCAGTCAGACCACACACATCATTTATCAGTTTAGGTCGCCGTCTTATGTGGGTGTGGCTCACAGTGTCACGAAACAATTTTAAGAGTAACACTAAACAGCAATGATCACAGATCACTATAACAGACATAATAATAATGAAGTTTGAAATACTGTGAAAATCACCAAAATATGACACAGAGATGTGAAGTAAGCACATGCTGTTGGAAAAATGGTGCTGACAGACTTACTCAGAGTTGCCACAAACCTTCCATTTGTTAAAAATAACTCCATAATATCTGCACAGTACAATAAAACAAGGTATGCCTTTGTATCTATTTCACAACAACCCAAAGTAGGAGGTAACTGTTAACGCCTTATTAACCCCATTTTACAGATAAAGATGAAAAGCTGAAAACATCACATACTTGCTGGTACAGCAGTGGAAGAGCTGAGATTTGAACCTGGGTCTGTCTGAGGCAAAAGTCTGGGCTGTTTCCCAGAGCACCACACCACCTCCTTCCTGTCCGCCCCATACCACCATTACCACCCCATCACCATTATTACAACTCAGCTGCCCACTTTGTAACGAACCCTCTCTGCATAGCCCTCACGGTCCTGCAGGTGGTCTTAACCTCCGCTGAATATCAGTCCTACCTCCACTCCCACCATGGCAGATATTTTTTTTTTTTGAGACACGGTCTTGCTGTGTCACCCAGGCTGGAGTGCAGTGGTGCGATCTTGGCTCACTGCAGCCTTGACTTCCTGGGCTCAAATGATTCTCCCACCTCTGTCTCCCAAGTAGCTGGCACAACAGTCGTATGCCACCTTACCCAGCTAATTTTTTGTATTTTCAGTAGAGACAAGGTTTCGCCATGTTGCCCAGGCTGGTTTCCAACTCCTGAGCCTAAGCAATCCACCTGCTTTAACCTCTCCAAGTGTTGAGGTTATTGGTATGAGCCCCATGCCCAGACACTGGTGGACTTTAAATCTTCTAAGGACCAGTAGATCTAGAGGGTGATGCAGCAATACCCCACAGGATCCCTGATCAGGACTCCAGGTCTCTGTTGCCTCCCTACTAGGTCCAGCCTTTGGCATGCTCAAGAATACTAATATCAGTTTGTCACAGCTAACCTGATGCTCACCTCATCGGGAAAATCCTTGGGGTGGGGAGAGGTAAAACGGATCCTCATTTCAGGATCTACTCTGGAGACCTGATCCAGAAGATGAGCAAAACGAAGTCCTCCTTGCTTGGCTTTATAGTTGGTGGTAAAGCCACGGCTGAGATTGGTAGACACTGCATTGTTGAACTGGACCTCTGAATTGTCCCGAAAACTATTAACATTCTGACCAAGAAGGGTCACTTCTTTCAGCCCCTAAACATGGGAAAACATATTGGAATTTTGAAACTTTTGGGTAGCTTCATAAAAAAACACTAATTAAAAATTAGCTGCAATTAACACATCTTTTGTTTTAAACAAAAGAAAAATCAAACCTACCAAGAGATACCGATAAATGTGTTGTGTCTATAACCTGATAATTTCAAGCTTAGACATCTTACCTAAAGAGCTAAAACTCAATGAAGCCTTATGTAAAAATTAATCTTCAAAACATTATTTAGAATAGAAGAAAAACTGGAAACAAACTCAATAATCAACAATAATGGTTAATTTATGATAGATCTGTCATTTGAATGTTATACACCATGACTATATAAAGTATTCTCATCAAAAATATTTAACCTAAAGTAATCAAGCTTTTACACCTAACTTCCAGTTACCAGAATTCAGGGAGATATATTAAATGACAACATGAGGAAAAAAATCAGACAAAGGAGACTCATGTCTGATCTCTTCAAAAAGTTAATGCATCATTTAAAGCAAACAACAAAAAAATAAATAAAAGAACTGTTTTAGATTTTTTTTTTCCTCCTTCTTCTTGAGACAGGGTCTCCTTCTGTTGCCCAGGCTGGAGTGCAGTGGCATGATCATAGCTCACTGCAGCCTCAACCTCCCAGGCTTAAGCAATCCTCCTGCCTCTACCTCCCAAGTAGCTGGGACTACTTTTTTTTTTTTGTAGAGAAAGGATTTCACCATGTTGCACAGACTGGTTTTAAACTCCTAAACTCAAGCAATCCTCCCACCTCAGCCTCCCAAAGTGTCTGGCTTAGATAACTATTGATCTTCATATATATGATAACGATACCATGGTTATAAAGAGAAAAATTGTTACTCATAGGAGATGCATACTGAAGTATCTAGGGGCAAGTGTCCTGAGGTCTACAAATTACTTCAAATGGTTCAGAAAAAATACATTTATGGGTGCATGGAGATAGGTGTATGACAAAATGTTAACAATCACGTTTTTCTATTATACTAGTCTTTCAATCTGTCTGTTTGAAATTTTATATTATAGGCCGGGTGCAGTGGCTCACTCCTGAAATCCCAGCATTTTGGGAGGCTGAGGTGGGCAGATTACAAGGTCAGGAGGTCGAGACCAGCCTGGCCAACATGGTGAAACCCCATCTCTACTAAAAATGCAAAAAATTAGCTGGGCGTGGTGGTAGGTGCCTGTAATCCCAGCTACTCAGAAGGCTGAGGCAGGAGAATCACTTGAACCCAGGAAGTGGAGGTTGTAGTGAGCCGAGATCATGGCACTGCACTCCAGCCTGGGCAACAGAGTGAGACTTTGTCTCAAAAAATAGAAATGTTATATTACAAAGTTTCATAAATAATGGTTGCTAGAAAAGACTTGTTTTGTAACTTTGTTTTGACATAATTTCAATTTACAAACTGCAATATTAAAAGAATTCCCATATACTCTTTACCTAAATTCATCAAATGTTAACAATGCTCCCCATTTGTTTATCACTCACATTCAGACACTCATATACACTCTCTTTCAACACACATACGACTACATTTTTTTTTAAGCCTTCTGAGAAAAAGTCACAGATATCATATTCTTTTACTCCCAAATACTTTAGTACATATTTCCTAAAAACAAGGCATTCTCCAGGACAATCATCAAAATCAGAAATATTGATACAATACTATTATCTAATCTACTTTCCATAAATCAAATGTTACCAATAGTCCAAATAATGTTCCTTTTTTTGTTTTGTTTTTTTTTTGTTTTTTGAGACAGAGTCTTACTCTGTCACCTAGGCTGGAGTGCACTAGCGCGATCTTGGCTCACGGCAACCTCCATCTCCCAAGTTCAAGTGATTCTCCTGCTTCAGCCTCCTGAGTAGCTGGGACTATAGGCGTGTGTCACCACGCCCAGCTAATTTTTTGTATTTTTTAGTAGAGACAGGTTTCACCACGTTGCCCTGGCTAGTCTCAAACTCCGGAGCTCAGGTAATCCGCACACCTCAGCATCCCAAAATGCTAGGATTACAGGTGTGAGCCACCACACCCGGTCCAAATAATGTTCTTTATAACATTTTTTTCCCCGATCAGAATCCCAATCAAGGACCATGCAATGCATTTAGTTGTCATAACTCCAGTCTCCATAAAGGCTATTTATTTGTGTAAGTCATTCTCTTATCTAAAAAGTAGGATATACTAAATGCAATGTGAATCCTGGATTGGATCCTGGAAACGAAGTAAGACATTAGTAGAGAAACAGGCAAAATCCAAATCAAGTCTCAAGAGAGTTGATAGTAACACACCAATATTAATCTGTTAGTTTTTGTTTTGTTTGTTTTGTAATAGAGACAGCATCTCCCTGTGTTGCCCAGGCTGGTCTTGAACTCCTATGCTCAAGGCACCCTCCTGCCTTGCCTCCCAAAGTGCTGGGATTACAGCACCAAAAAATGTACCAAAGAAAGATGGTAACGCTCGAGGAAATTCTCTTTGCAACCTTCCTGTAAATGTAAAGTCATTCCAAAACAAAGAGTTTATTTATTAAAAAGTAGGATATAAAACTAAGTAAAATACACACACATATATAAAAAGACATACAAACCAAACGCAGAATGACTTAAGGAACAATTAGGGAAGTGTGAATAAAGATGAACTCGAATGAGACAGTATTTAGCAATTTTTGTTAATGTCACTGGAAGAACTAATGGTATTAAAAATATTCTTGGCTGGGCACGGTGGCTCACACCTGTAATCCCAGCACTTTAGGAGGCCGAGGAGGGTAGATCACCTAAGGTCAGGAGTTCGAGACCAGCCTGCCCATCATGGTGAAACCCCGTCTCTACTAAAAATACAAAAATGGGCCAGGTGCGGTGGCTCACGCCTGTAATCCCAGCACTTTGGGAGGCTGAGGCGGGATCACCTGAGGGCGGGAGTTCGAGACCAGCCTGATCAACATGGAGAAACCCTGTCTCTACTAAAATTACAAAATTAGCCGGGCGTGATGGCACATGCCTATAATCCCAGCTACTAGGGAGGCTGAGGCAGGAGAATCACTTGAACCCGGGAGGCAGAGATTGCGGTGAGCCGAGATCATGCCACTGCACTCCAGCCTGGGCAACAAGAGTGAAACTCCGTCTCAAAAGAAAAATAAAAATAATGAGCTGAGCGTGGTGGCGCATGCCTGTAATCCCAGTTACTCGGGAGGCTGAGGCAGGAGAATCACTTGAACCCAGGCGGCAGAGGTTGCAGTGAGCTGAGATCGCACCATTTCACTCCAGCATGGACAAAAAGAGTGAAATTCCGTCTCTAAATAAATATATAAATAAATAAATAAAATAAAAATATTCTTTAGCAGTGCATGGTAGTGCATGCCTATAATCGCAGCTACTCAGGAGGTTGAGGCAGGAGGATCACTTGAGTCCCAGAGGCAAAGGTTGAGGTGAGCCAAGATTGTAACACTGCACTCCAGCCTGGGCAACAGAACAAGACACTGTCTCTCAAAATAAATAAATAAATAGGACAGGCGCAGTGGCTCACGCCTGTAATCCCAGCCCTTTGGGAGGCTGAGGCGAGCGAATCACCTAAGGTCAGGAGTTTGAGACCAGCCTGGCCAACCTGGTGAAACCCCATCTCTACTAAAAATACAAAATTAGCCAGGTGCAGCAGTACACACCTGTAATCCCAGCTACTTGGGAGGCTGAGGCAGGAGAATCACTTGAACCCAGGAGATGGAAGTTGCAGTGAGCCAAGATTGCATCATTGCACTCCAGCCTGTGCAAAAAAAGTGAAACTCCATCTCAAAAATAAATAAATAAATAAATAATAAAAATATTTTTTAAAAACAGAAAATATCCTTATTTTTTAGAGATGCATATTTAAGGGTGAAATGACATGCTCTACTTTGAAATACGTTTTCAATAAGAAAAAAATAAATGAGGCCAGGCGTGGTGGGCTCACACTTGTAATCCCAGCACTTTGGGAGTCCGAGGTGGGTGGATCACTTGAGCTCAGGAGTTTGAGACCAGCCTGACCAATATGGTGAAACCCCGTCTCTATTAAAAATACAAAAATTAGGCCGGGTGCAGAGGTTCATGCCTGTAATCCCAACACTTTGGAAGGCCAAGGCGGGCGGATCACCTGAGGTCAGGAGTTCGAGACTAGCCTGATCAACATGGAGAAATCCCATCTCTACTAAAAAAATACAAAATTAGCCAGGCGTGGTGGTGCATGCCTGTAATCCCAGCTACTTGGGAAGCTGAGGCAGGAGAATCATTTGAACCTGGGAGGTGGAGGTTGTGGTAAGCCGAGATCACACCATTGCACTCAAGCCTGGTTAGTAATAAGAGTGAAACTCTGTCTCAAAAAAAAAAAAAAAAAAACACAAAAATTAGCCAGGTGTGGTGCCAGGCACCTATAATCCCAGTTACTCAGGAGGATAAGGCAGGAGAATCACTTGAACCTGGGAGATGGAGGTTGCAGTGAGCTGAGATCACACCACTGCACTCCAGCCTGGGCAACAGAGTGAGACTCCATCTCAAAAAAAAAATGAAAAATAAAAGTAAATGAAACAAATATGGCAAAATGCAACAATTGTTAAAATTAGGTGATTGTCAGCTGGGGCAGAGGGGTCATTGTACTATTCTCTCTTTTCTGTATATTTAAGTATTTTTCATATAAAAAGATTTAGAAGACTTTTTATAAAAGCTGCTTACTTAGAAGACTTCCAATGGCTAATCATTGTTTGAATGAATAAATGGACATTCTGGTAAAGGCACAATATTCTATACTCTTTGCAACTGTAGTCTAAAAATCTAAACGACAGAAAAAAATCTTAAAAGTTACTATACAAGCAAAATTATTAAATGACTAACAGATACTCTAAAATACAAGTAAAATCTTAATTTTCCACAAGTCTGTGGCTTTGAATTCACTAACACTCACTTCAGTGTTATTAAGTTCCTTCTTTTACAGGCAAATGGCCTAGGAAGGCTGGTTAGTTTTGTCACCATCTCAATCTATTTCAACAGAATGTCTCTATCTTGAAGGAGTGAGTTTTGGTACCGAGGGAGAGCTGGAAGGGGAGAGGAAGGAGACAACTTTAGACCAGGAAGCACTTTGAGAGGTGAGGTATGGAGAATGCCTCACAGAGCAGGGGAGCAGCTAGGGGCCAAATCAGGGAACTGATTATCTGGGAGTGGGGCAAGAGAAGACAGCACTGCCAGAATGTGAGGATGAAAGCCAACTGGTGACTTAGAAGTGAAGCAGGGAGGCCAGGCGTAGTGGCTCATGACTGTAATCCCAGCACTTTGGGAGGCCAAGACAGGATGATTGCTTGATCCCAGGAGTTCTAGATCAGCCTGAGCAACATAGTGAGACTTAATCTCTACAAATAATTTAAAAATTGGCGGCCGGGCGCGGTGGCTCAAGCCTGTAATCCCAGCACTTTGGGAGGCCGAGACAGGTGGATCACTAGGTCAGGAGATCGAGACCATCCTGGCTAACACGGTGAAACCCCATCTCTACTAAAAAAATACAAAAAACTAGCCGGGTGAGGTGGCGGGCGCCTGTAGTCCCAGCTACTCGGGAGGCTGAGGAAGGAGAATGGCGGGAACCCAGGAGACGAAGCATGCAGTGAGCCGAGATCGCGCCACTGCACTCCAGCCTGGGCGACAAAGCGAGACTCTGTCTCAAAAAAAAAATAAAAATAAAAAAAATAAATAAATAAAAATTGGCTGGGCATGGTGGCACCTACCTGTGGTCACAGCTACTTGGGAAGCTGAGGTGGGAGAATCGCTTGAGTCCAGGCAGTTGATGCTGCAGTGAGCTCTGACCATACCACTGTACTCCAGCTTGGGTGACAGAGTGACAGCCCGTCTCAAAAATAAAAAATAAAAAAAGAACTGGAGCAGAGGCTACCCTGGCCCCCTCCCATGATTCCTGCGCCAAACAAGTTAGGAAGCAGGGAGACACCACTGGAAGGAAAAGCCACCATATTCCCACCTATTGTCCTCTTCTGCAGGGGTAGCAGATTCAGGCCGGGGGTAAGGAAAAGACCTCCTCAGAAGCTGAGGACCAGCTCCCAGTGGGAGGAAAAGGAACAGATCTCCTCTGTGGCTTCTGATCCGCCTTAGTCCCCTCATTTATTCTGTTCCTCAACTAGTGAGCTGGATCAGTGATAAAATGAACAATAAATCTGGGAGTTTTTCCTGGAAGAGACAAATACCTAATTCCTCGAAAACTTAGCTATGTGCCAGGTAATTAAAAACTTTTCCTCCAATTCTTCTAATAACCCTGCAAGCAAGGATTTCTTTTATTCTCTTCATAGATGAGGTAAATGGATTACAACAACAGTTAAATTGACATGCCTAGAAATCAAGCTAGAATTCACGCTCCATCACCTGACTGTAAACCCATGCCCTCTCCATCCACTATGCTGCCTCCACAGTGGAGCTCTGTAATTTATGGGCAATAAACCAATGATGTACACCCAAGTAGTTCTTTCTGGCCAAGCATGGTCCTAAACTTTAATAACTCAGAGACGGCACAGGCTCCAAAACTACAAAGGTTATCCTCATCCTCCCCCAAACATGCTCACAGCAAGAAAGCCTGGAGAACTCTTCACCTGCTCAGAAAGCTTCTTCACTTCCTCTAGAATAGAGGCAACAGGCCGACTCCTCTCCCTTCCCCGGGTGAAAGGAACAATGCAGTAGCTACACATGTTGTCACAGCCTCGCATGATCGACCTGGAGAAGAAAGTACCAGAACTTAGTAACAGTAGCAGGGTGTGCTGGTGTGACCCAAGGAGCAGGTCTCAGCTCTAATGGCATTATTCTTTGGCTCTGAATCCTCTTGCCACAGTGCTCACACTGGACCAATCTGATATCTAAGCACTAAAGTAGACCTTTTTTATCTTTAAAAATTGGTATCTAATCACAGAATACAAACCAAACTATAACCAGTGGGACAGTGGCCAGCCTTGAGGAAGCACAGTGGTGAGGGGCTCAAGTACACACTTACCACACCTGGACTTTCTACTGTTTTTTTGTTTTGTTTTGTTTTGTTTGAGACAGGGTCTCACTCTGTCACCAGGCTGGAGTGCAGTGGCTCAATCTCAGCTCACTGCAACCTCCACCTCCTGGGTTCAAGTGATTCTCCTGCCTCAGCCTCCTGAGTAGCTGGGACTACAGGCGCCCGCCACCATGCCCGGCTAACTTTTATATTTTTAGTAGAGATGGGGTTTCTCCATGTTGGCCAGGATGGTCTCAATCTCTTGACCTGGTGATCCACCCGCCTCGGCCTCCCAAAGTGCTGGGATTTACAGGTGTGAGCCACCGCGCCCAGCCCCTCTACTGTTTTTAAATTCTTTTTTCCAGACAGCCTAAATACATTTGTACCTATTGTTTTTATAAGTATATTATCTGGACTTTTTACATCCAGACCAGAAAAAAATAAATGTTATAAAATGTTTGTATATGTGTGCGTATAGGGCAAGGAGACTCTGGATTTAAAACACAGAATTCTGCATTTCTCACGCATTCTTGATCCAACTGCTAGATATCTAAGCTAAATCACTCTCTTTAATTCACATCCTGCACGTGAAAGCCTCAATCTATCTGAAGGAAATAATTACGGATATGTATCAAAGACGTTCACTGAAGAATTATGTAATAAGTGTTAGCTATTATTTTTACTAAGCATTCCAACAAGAGAATATTATACAGCCATTAAAATAAACAGAGGTTGACAAACTTTTCTGAAAAAAAAAAGAAAAGATAGTAAATATTTGAGACTTAGCAGGCTATAGTCTCTGTCCCAACTATTTAACCTTGCTTTAGTAGCAAAAGCAGCCAGAGACAGTATGTAAATAAATGGGCATGCTTGTATTCCAATAAAACCTTATTTACAAAAAGAGGTGGTAAGCTATTTGGCAACCTCTGTTATAGAAAATTTAATGCCTTGCCAGGCATGGTGGCTCACGCCTGTAATCCCAGCACTTTGGGAGGGTGAGGCGGGCAGATCATGAAGTCAGGAGATTGAGACCATCCTGGCTAACACGGTGAAACCCCGTCTCTACTAAAAATACAAAAAAAATTAGCCACGTATGGTGGCACACGCCTGTAGTCCCAGCAACTCCGGAGGGCGAGACAGGAGAATCGCTTGAACCCGGGAGGCAGAGGTTGCAGTGAGCCAAGATTGCACCACTGCACTCCAGCTTGGGCAACAGAGTGAGACTCGGTCTCAAAAAAAAAAAAAAAAAAGGAAAAGAAAATTTAATGCCATGGCCAGGCACGGTGGTTCACCCTTATAATCCCAGGATTTTGGAAGGCTGAGGTGGGAGGATCACCAGCGCTCAGGAGTTTGAAACCAGCCTGGGCAATATAGTGAGATCCTATCTCTGCAAAAATTCAAAAAAAATTAGCCGGGTGTGGTGGTACACACCTGTAGTCCCAGCTACTCAGGGGACTAAAGCAAGAGCCCAGGAGGTCAAGGCTGCAGTGAGCCCTGATGATGCCACTGCACTCCAGCTTGGGTGACAAGAGTGAGACTGTGCCTCAAAAAAAAAAAAAAAAAAATGTGTGAAAGAAAAAAGAGGCTTATTCCCCATCTCTTAGGCAGTGACTCACACAAAGGCAGACGTGGCACTGGGGCTTGTTTGGACTGGCATGACATCAGCATAGGTCTCGTCCAGAGAGAGTAGCACGTTGGCAGCTTGCTGGCCTGACTCAGCAATAGCCAGCAGCCGGGGAAGGTCCCGGTACGCATCAGGACCAGCCAAAACATCCACCATTTTCTCCCTGTTGAGGATCTCCTCCTTCAACCTCTCAGCCATGCAGCCTGGAAGGGAAAAAGAAACAAGCACCTTTCCCCAAATTCACCGGGTGTTTAATGGCTTCTTATTCCACTTTATCTCTAGCTGGGATTAGAGACCAGGGCACAGAAAACTTCTCTAAAAATTGAGTACCATCCTTCAAATTTAACCAACACTCCCATACCACTGGAGCCTGCATCTTCCTATATAAGAAAATCACAGAAAAGGGTTCCAGAGCAATTCAATTATAATGCCCAGAAAAAAAATTAAACCACCGGCCCGGTGTGGTGGCTCATGCCTATAATTCCCGCAATTTGGGAGGCCGAGGCAGGTGAATCACCTGAAGTGGAGAGTTCAAGACCAGCCTGAACAACACAGAGAAACTCCGTCTCTACTAAAAACACAAAATTACCCAGGTGTGGTGGCACATGCCTATAATCCCAGCTACTCAGGAAGCTGAGGCAGGAGAATCGCTTGAACTCAGGAGGCAGAAGTGGCGGTAAGCCAAGATCTCGCCATTGCACTCCAGCCTGGGCAACAAGAGCAAAACTCCACCTCAAAGGAAAAAAAAGGAAATTCATGCTGTCCCTTCAGACTCCAATTCTATCCATAACTCTGTGCTACCATGAGCCGCATTAGACTGTAGGCAGGATATACCACTTTCTGAGCACCTATTACTTTAAGGAACTATGGAAAGCCCTTTCATGAACTTTATCTCATTTAATCCTGTAGCCTCTGGCAGTAAGTACAAGAATTGCATGGGGTATATAAGATTTCTTCAGACACTGGGAACCCAGCCTCTAAAGGAAACACTAGCAAATAAAGCCACATAGAGTCCAAGTTTCAAAACTGACAAAATGCGTAAATTACCAGATACCTAGAATCCCAATCCTCAGAGGAACCCGGGAGCGGGGCCGCCTTGTCTTCAAGGCTTTAAGCTGATGTAAACGGTTCCAGATGGTCTGCTCAGCCTTCTCCCTACAGAGATCAAAGGAGGCAAAACTGAACCAAAAATAAACCACAGAGGAATCTAAGAGAGTAGGACAGTGGGAAGAAAATAAAAACCACCTTCAACCCTTTAAATTAAGCTTTTCCAACCTGCAGCCCACGGGCCGCATGCAGCCAGGATGGCTTTGAATGCAGCCCAACACAAATTCATAAACTTTTGTAAAACATTATGAGATTTCTTTTTTTTTGCGATTTTTTTTTTTTTTTTAGCTCATCAGCTATTATTAGTGTTAGTGTATCTTATGTGTGGCCCAAGACAATTCTTCTTCTTCTTCCAATGTGGCCCAGGGAAGCCAAAGGATTGGACAGCCCCGCCTTAAATGCGTATCTACCATTTACACTTGGGGAAGGTAGATAGGGGGCCACCTGAAGAAGCAACACTTGCTATGATTTACCTTTCCTAGAATGACACCCTTCCTACACGTCTTCAAATCCTAACAAGCCTTTAAGCCAAACTCAAAAACAATCTACTTCGTAAGGCCTTCCCCAGTTCTCCTCTGTTGGAGAGTTTGTCCTTCCTTTAACTGCCCTTCAACTTTTTTTTTTATGATTCCAGATCCTAATGCCCTTCTGCTTTAACTAGATTTTTCCCTGTACTTAGCAATTTCTTTTTTTTTTTTTTTTTTTTTTTTTTGAGATGGAGTCTCACTTTGTCACCAGGCTGGAGTGCAATGGTGTAATCTCGGCTCACTGCAACCTCCAACTCCCTGGTTCAAGCAATCATCCTGCCTCAGTCTCCTGAGTAGCTGGGATGACAGGCATGCATAACCAGGCCTGCCTAATTTTTGTATTTTTAGTAAAGACGGGATTTCACTATGTTGGCCAGACTGGTCTCAAAGTCCTGACCTCATGATTTGCCTACCCTGGCCTCCCAAAGTGCTGGGATTACAGGTGTGATCCACCGTGCCTGGCCAGCAATTTATCTTTTATTTTTCTTTGTAGATACAGGGTCTTACTTTGTTGCCCAGGCTGGTCTTGAATAGCTCCCTGCAGCCTTGAACTCCTGGACTCAAGTGATCCTTCCCACCTCGGCCTCTAAGAGTGCTGGGATTATAGGTGTGACACACTGCACCCAGCCTCATTGTTTGATTTTTTTGAACTAGCATTTTCTGCCAGATGTTGGAGCTATTTGTTCATCTATCTTAGTTCCCATATCAGACTAAGCTCCTCAAAGCCAGGCCAAGGAAAAAGGGTTCATTTCTGAATCACCCAAAGCACACAGCTCAGTGTCAAGCAGCAGAGGTCTACAGAAGAAAAATGTCAGATGAATTAATTGAGGGTATAGCTGGATATGGAAACATTAACACTAGCATGTCTTGAACACAGAACCAAAGTGAGAAAGAAGGTATGTTCACCTCTGACGGATGTCACCCACCTCTATTCAAAACTCTCCCTGAGCCTATGACTACATCCTACCCCAGGCAGCTATATTATAAATATATGCCATTAGTTACAAAACAAAGCTCAGGAAGAGCTGAGTGGCTCAGCACATTCTTGGTTTCCTCATCTATAACAGCACCAAACACACAGCGTTGTTGTGATCATTAAATTTGTTCATGCATTATGTTACTCACTCAGAACCTGACACCACGGTACATGCTCAGCCGATGTCAGCCAGTCGTAAAAAGACTATCTCCACTGTGGGAAAACTGCAAGTCCTACTGCCGTGGGGCCACTGGCTCATCTCCATAGACAGCCAGGCCAGGCACTGTTAGCTGTGGCATTATTACATAAGATACATTCACTCCTAGGAAAAGAACAAATTCGCACCTGATAGAGCACGTGACAAGGAGAATCACATCTGCCTGAATGGAGAGAAAGGAAAACAAGGAAAATTACAATCTTGGAATCTTGGATATTAGCCTTGTACAGTTCCTACCCTACAGCTCTTTTTTTTTTTTTTTTTTTTTTTTTTTTTTTTTTTTTTTTTTGTTAGCTCTGTTGAGACAGAGAGTCTCACTCTTTTTTTTTTTGAGACAGAGTCTCACTCTGTCTCCCAGGCTGGAGTGCAGTGGGGCAATCTTGGCTTACTGCAACCTCTGCCTCCCAAGCAGTTCAAGCAATTCTCCTGCTGCCTCAGCCTCGGATTACAGGCGCCCACTACCACGCCCAGCTAATTTTTGTATTTTTAGTATAGATGGGGTTTTACCATGTTGGCCAGGCTGGTCTCAAACTCCTGACCTCAAGTGATCCACCCGCCTTGGCCTCCCAAAGTGCTAGGATTACAGGCATGAGCCACTGCACCCACGCTATTATTTTTCTTTAATTATTTTTTTCCTTTTTTTTTTTTTTTTTTTTAATAGAGAAGGGAGTCTCACTCACTTGCCCAGGCTGAAGAGCAATAGCATAACCATAGCTCACTGCAGCCTCAAACTCCTGTCTTCAAGCAGTCCTGCCTTGGCCTCCCAAAGTGCTGGGATCACAGGCATGGTAACCCACACCTGGACATTTTAACCATTTTTAAGTGTACAGTCCTGTGGCATTAAGAACATCTGCAATTTCATAACTATGCATTTTCCATAACTTTTTCATCATCTGCAACTAAAACTCTGTACTCATTAAACAGTAACTCTCCAACTTCCCTCCCCACAGCCAATTCTTAACTTAGCTCCTTGCCTGAAGGCGCACATCACCATAAAAGTTTCAAAAATAGCTGGAACAACTCAGTACAACTGAGTCCCATGGTGAACACTTCACCCAAGGGAACTCTCTCTCACCAGGGGGCACCCTGCTCCTGAAACTGCACCTAAGAATGGGCACAAATGCAGAATCTTGCTCAGGTCCAGGAAACAAAGGAAATAGGAAATGCATGTACCTCTTGGAGGTTACTGGTCCGCAGGTAGCCACTCTTCCGTAAGATGGACCAGGCTATCTCTGTGTCATTCACATTCATCTGGCAGCCATAGGTCTCAAGGTAGACTGCAGTGAGAGGTTGGGGGGAATCCATGGTAGACAGACAAGAAGGGGCCTCATGTCTCAGAAGGTCTCCCTCCCAAATGATCTAGAAATATCTGAGGCATCTGGTTATCCACTGAGTCCCCTATTGCCTCAATCCTAAGATAACATAAATTGCCAGATGTACCCCCAAATTAATGACAGATCTTCAGAACAAAAGAAATACCATATTAGGCTGGGCTCAGTGGTTCATGCCTATAATCACAGTACTTTGGGAGGCTGAGACAGGAGGATTACTTGAGCCCAGGAGTTTGAGACCAGCCGGGGCGACATAGGGAGACCCTGTCTCTACAAAAAATTTAAAAATTAGCCAAGTGATACATGCCTGTGGTCCCAGCTACTCAGGAAGCTGAGGAAGAACTGCTTGAGCCCAGGAGTCTGAGGCTGCAGTGAGCCATGATCACACCACTGCACTCAGCCTGGACAACACAGTGAGACCCTGTCTCAAACAAACAAACAAAAATACCACATTATATATCCACACCAATTACAAGACATGTTATATTTTAAATGGGGAAAACATGTACCTGAGAATCAAGGAAATATAGTTTTAAAACCAATTAGAAAAGGAAAGACTAGGCCAGGCGTGGTGGCTCACGCCTGTAATCCCAGCACTTTGGGAGGCCAAGGCGGGCAGATCACTTAAGGTCAGGAGTTCGAGACCAGCCTGGCCAACATGGTGAAACCCATGTCTCCACCAAAAACACAAAAAATTAGCCAGGTATGGTGGTGTGCACCTGTAATCCCAGCTACTCAGGAGGCTGAAGCAGGAGAATCACTTCTCAGGAGGCAGGAGGCAGAGGCTGCAGTGAGCTGAGATCGCACCATTGCGCTCCAGCCTGGGTGACAGAGTGAATCTCAAAAAAAAAAAAAAAAAGAAAAAGAAAAGAACAGAAAAGGAAGGACTAGGTGATAGTGTTTATCAGCCTGAAGGGAAAATAAGTTTAAATCCTTATGTTACACTCCTCCTCAAAATAAAGAGGTTTTCCAGCCTCTGGAAGTAGCAGCAGTGGCCAGAGGGTACATAAAGTCACAAAATTAAAATGAGGCCTCTTCTTAAGTAACTTCATCTTAAATGAAAGCAAGGCTATATTATGAAGTAAAACAAATTTTGTACACAGTTGTAGAAATATGAATTTCACATTCTGGCAGCTGTCCCCACCAGCAGGTCTTATTTCCAGACTCCAATAAATTCCAACTAAAAGTTAAGAGCTGAATGATAATAAGCTTTTGCTCAAATGATTCTCCCACCTCAGCCTCCTGAGTAGCTAGGACTACAGGTGCAGGTTATCATACCTGGCTAATTTTTTATTTTTTGTAGAGACGGTGTTTCACCATGTTACCCAGGCTGTTCTTGAACTCCTGGGCTCCAGCAATCCACCCATCTCAGCCTCCCAAGGTGCTGGGATTACAGGCATGAGCCACCGTGCCCGGCCAGGTTTCTTGATATTAATATTATTGGGTGGAGTCTGATGATTCCCACAGCCTTCCCACACTGTTAACCTTCCAAGCCAGGTCTGTAATAAAAGAATCACGCCAGGAACGACAGAAGGGAGCAAGGCAGGAAGCCCAAAGGGATAAGAGAAGTAAAACCAACCTTTTCTCTGCCTTCCAAGAAGTTCATCCATCGTGAGATAGGGAGGTGGGTCTTCCACTTCTGAAGACAGCTTCTCCTGAGGAGCTGAGGCACTTTTTAAAAAATGTTGAAAAGTCGGTCCAGCGGCCAGCCTGGAGCTGAAATCCTTCGGAGCTCCATCCTCCTGCCTCTCTGGACTGGAACACGTGGTACTAGAGAGACTGCTGTGTGCCCTGCACATCCTCAGTGACAGCCAAGGCACAGAGGCCAATGGCCCCCACCCCAGAGACCTCTGCACTTGGAGGACACACTGTAAAGGGTGCATGGCACTAAACAGCCCACGGTCTGCAAAAGAATGACAGACATCACCAGCATTTATTGAACACTATGGACAGAACACTGCTCTGAGCACTTCAAGTGTATACATCCATTTACCCCTCACAAAAGCCCATGATGAAGGTACTCCTAATAATATGACCTTTGTTTTACAGTTGAAAAAACGGAGGCAACTTGCCCAAGACCACACAGAGGAGTGCCAGAGATGAGATGCAAATCCAGGCAGCGTTTTCAAAACAAGGCATGGTAGAGATGAGATGGAAAGCCCTGACAAAATGATAAAATAGCACCTTGTGCCAAGACCAGTTCCCAAGGCTTTAAGTGTATTAACTCATTAAATCTTTACAGCAATCCTAGGAAACAGACACTATTATTGTTCCTATTCCGAAAGACATAGGTTGAGGAACTCACCTAAGCTCCTACAGCCAGTAAGAGCTTTGCATGGATGCAAAGCCCGTGCCAATACCCATCTTGCTACACTGCCTCTTAATACTGTGAAAACCACTCACTGTCTGAGGGCATCTTCCTTTGAGTTCCTTCAGAAGGAAAGCATCTAATGTGAGGGCACTGTATGCCTGATCAGTGACTCCTTCAACCCTTTAAGAGTCTTGGCTGGGCGCAGTCGCTCATGCCTCTAATCCTAGGACTTTGAGAGGCCAAGGCAGGAGGATCACTTGAGGTCAGGAGTTCAAGACCAGCCTGGCCAACATAGCAAAACTCCGTTTCTACTAAAAATACAAAAGTTAGCCAGATGTGGTGGCACGTGCCTATAGTCCCAACTACTCAAGAGGCTGAGGTAGGAGAATCGCTTGAACCCAGGAAGCAGAAGTTGCTATGTACTGAGGTCGCAGTACAGTCTGGACAACAGAGCGAAATGCCATCTCAAAAAAAAAAAAAAGAGTTTCAAACTACTACCTTCAAACTTTCCACCCAGACCCTCTCACACTTGGTTTAGCAAATAACACAACCTTTGTAGAGAACAATTTGCCACTTTCCATCAAAATTACAAGTGTGCAAACCATCTGACAGAGCATTTCCACTCATATTTATCCTGCAGATAAATCTATACACATACAAAATGACCTATGTATAAAGACATTCGGTCTAGGCATGGTAGCTCACGCCTGTAATCCCAGCACTTTAGGACACTGAGGCTGGTGGATCACTTGAGGCCAGGAGTTCGAGACCAGCCTGGCCAACACAATGAAGCCTCATCTCTACTAAAAATACAAAAATTAGCTGGATGTGGTGGCACACACCTGTATTCTGAGTTACCCGGGAGGCTGAGGCATGAGAATCTCTTGAGCCCAGGAAGAGAAGGTTGCAGTAAGCCAAGATCACGCCACCGCACTCTAGCCTGGACAACAGAGTGAGATTGTCTCAAAAAATAAAAATAAAAGATATTCAATGCAACAGTGTTTCTAATAGCAAAAGAAAGGGAAAGGTCTAAATGTCATCAATAAAGGATTAGTTAAGTAAGTTCTGGTACATCCATACAATGGAACAAGATACAACTGTTAGAAACCAAGGTTGGTGGCCAGGTGCAGTGGCTCATGCTTGTAATCCCAGCATTTTGGGAAGCTGAGACAGAAACATCACTTGAGCCAGGAATTTGAAACCAGCCTGGGCAACATAGTGAGACCTTATCTCTATAAAAATAACAAAAAATAGCCAGGCACAGTGATGCACACCTGTAGTCCCAGCTACTAAGGAGGCTGAAGTGGAAGGACTGTTTGAGCCTGGGAGGTCAATGCTACAGTGAGCCATAATCGCACCACTGCCTGGGTGACGGAGTGAGACCCTAGCTCAAAAAAAAAAAAAAAAAAAAAAGTGAGGCTGAACCTATACATGACAAAGGCAAGGAAGTAAAATGTTCCATGCTACCTACATCATACTACAGATGAATCTGTGGGGAAAGCGGGTAGGAATATTGAGGTACCTATTTGCAGGTACATACAATATCTCTAGAGTGCATAAGAAACAATAGTTGCCTCCCAGGAAGACTTAGGTAACTAAGGTACAGGAGATGAAGCCATACTATTTACCTTTTTTTTTTTTTTTTTTTTTTTTATTTCCTGACTAAGGAAGAATTCTAGGATCACCATATATTTTTATTGGACCCCCTGACTATGGCCTACCATACTCCAGCCATGCCACACTTCTTTGTATTAATCTTCACTAGCTTGTAGGATTTTACACATGCTGTTCTCTGGCTGGCGTATCTTCCCTCTAGTGGCTGTATAACACCTATGATACTTTCAGCTTTCTTCCTCTGGGAAGACTGCTCTGGCCATCACCCCCCAAGTCTAAGTGGGATCCTTCTCTGGGTTCCCAAAGCTCTCTTCTAGCTCTCCATCACAAGACTCATCACACTTTGCTGTTATTACTGACACTTCTGCCAGCCCTAGTAAACTGGCAGGTTCCTGCAAGCAGGGAACAAGCATCATTCATTTCTACACCTTCACCATCTCCCATTGTGGTAGCTGCCTCATGGCAGGTGCTAAACATCAGTGGTTCCCAACCTTTTTGGTACCAGGTATTGGTTTCATGGAAGACAATTTTTCCACAGACAGGGAAGCAGGGGTATGTTGAAACTGTTCCACCTCAGGCATTTAGATTCTCATAAGGAGCGTGTAATCTTGAGCCAGTGCGGTGGCTCACATCTTTATAATCCCAGTACTTTGGGAGGCTGAGGCAGCAGGATTGCTTGAGCTCAGGAGTTCAAGACCAGCCTGGGCAACATGGCAAGACCCCGTCTCTACAACAAATTAAAAAATAAAAACTTAGCCAGCCATTGTGGTGTGTGCCTGTAGTCCCTGCAACTGGAGAAGCTGAGGTAGGAGGATCACTTGAGCCGGAGACGCAGAGGTTGCAGTGAGCTGAGATTGTGCCACCACACTCTAGCCTGGGTAACAGAGAGAAACCCTGTCTCCAAAAAAAAAAAAAAAAGTAAATGGAATGCACAACCTAGATCCCTTGCATACACTCAGTTCACAATAGGGTTTGTGTTCCTATGAGAATGTAATGCCACGGTCGATCTGACAGGAGGCAGAGCTCAGGCAGTAACACCAGCTTGCTGCTCACCTCCTGCTGTGCGGCCTGGTTCCTCACAGGCCACGGACAGGTACCATTCTGCCACCTAGAGTTAGGGGAACCCTGCTATACATGTGTAAAGAGCAGATGTGGCCCATCACCTTTCCAATGAGATCACCTGCCACATCTGCTACTGGCACTCAGGAGCAATGCCAACCCAGTTTCAAGTGTCAGAGAAGAACAGCCTTAAAGTGTGAGCTTTAAAATAGCCCATTTCTACTCCATAATTGCTGTGTGACCTTTGGCAAGACAAATTTCTGTCTGAGTCACCAATTCCACTTGCGTAAAATAAGGATAAAAAAGCAGCACTTACACCCTCCCCGCAAGAAGTGTTATAAGAATAAGATATTAAAAACCCAACTTGAGATACAGTAAGTGTTCACTAACTGCAATTCACAGCCCACACCCCCTTTCATGGAGAGTATTAGAGCATCCTGGTTAAGAGTTTGGACTCTACTAAAAATACAAAAATTAGCCGGGTGTGGTGGCATGCGCCTGTAATCCTAGCTACCCAGGAAGCTGAGGCAGGAGAACAGGAGAATCGCTGGAACTCGGGAGGCAGGGGCTACAGTGAGCCGAGATCGTGTCACTGCACTCCAGCCTGGGCGACAGAGCAAGACTCCGTCTCAAAAAAAAAAAAAAACAGTATGGACCCTAGAGTCTGAATCTGACCCCACTGCTGCCAATCCAGCTAAACCTCAGGCACCTGTCTTAAACTCTGGGAGCCTCTAGATGAGGATAATAGCACCTATCTCCATAAGCCTACTGTGGGATCAAATGCAATAATACAAGCAAAATGCTTTGCATAACACAGTGTAGAAGCCTCTCTGGAGGCTCGAAATTAATTTTGACAGTCGGCAATGAGGCTGGAACAATAGTGTACAACATCCCAAACACTTTATTGGCTGGTTACAATGCGTTAGGCATAGTGCAAAGCATTTTCCGCGAATTATTACCTATATCCCTCACAGCAACCCTGTGAGGCAGGCTGTACTGTCAACCCCACTTCACGGGTGGCGAAGCGAAGCCTTGATAGAAGTGGAGGTGACCTGTCCAAGGTCACACGGGGTTAGGCGGCAGGGTTAAAGTACGAACCCCGACAGCCTGACGCCAGGCCCCACGCCGTAACCACCGTGCCATCCTCCCTCTTGAACACCGCGCGCTTCCCGGGATCCGCGGCCCCTTCTGCCCCAGGCGCCACTCAAAATCAGGTGCGCAGCCCACCCCGGCGGGCGCGCTGCTCACCTCCCGCAGCAGCAACAGTGCCCGGGGTCCCGCAGCGTAAGTTCTGCCGGCAAATCAGATCCACTCACCGGTCCGCCGCTGGGCTGATACACAACCGACTTCCGTTCCGCCGGTACTTCAGGCCGGGTCATTCTAACGGAAGTGCTTCCTTTTTACAGTCCGGGTGGACCCAAAGCTCCGTGGCGGCGCTGAACTTTAGGGCAGCCACTAGCCACGGACTTAAGCGGCAACTGAGCGCCTCGAAGTAGGTGAGTGTAAATAAAATGTGCGCTAAATGTCAGATACATCGGATGTGGAAGAAGAAATGTCAAATGGTGTCAAATAGTTCATATATATAATGTTTATATTGATTATGTGCTGCAATAATTGTTGGGACATATTGGGTACATTCGTTGAATTTTTTTTTATTTGTAGCTATGATGACAGAAATATTTGAATTAACTTCACCTGTTGTTTCTTTTTACTTTTTCAATGTGGCTAGCAGGGGGGGAAAAATTAGTGTGGTCATGGCTCACTGCAGCTTCCGCCTCCCATGCTAAAGCAGTCCTCCCACCTCAGCCTCCCAAGTGGCTGGGACTACAGGCAGGCGCCACCACGCCCAGCTAATTTTTTTTTTTTTTTTGGAGAGACGGGTCTACCCGTGTTGCCCAGGCAGGTCTCAAACTCCTACCTAGGAGCAAGCCATCCTCCCACCTTGGCCTCCCAAAGTGCTGGGATCCTCCCACCTTGGCCTCCCAAAAGGGCTTGGCCCTCCCACCTTGGCCCTCCCACGTGACCCTCCCACCTTGGCCTCCCAAAGTGCTTGGCCTCCCAAAGTGCTGGGACCCGGTACAGGTGTGAGCCACTGTACCGGGTCCTTACTGGGAAATTTTAAGTCACCTAAGAGGTTCACGCTCTGTTTCTATTGCAGGGTGCTGCCCTGTAGGTTAATGACTTCCTGATTCACATCTCCAGCTGGACCCTCCCTGCAGTTCCAGAGTTCCTCAGCTGCCTACTTGACACTTCTTGGGTGTCTGATGACCATCTCTAACTTACACAGAACTCTTCATTTCCACACACGCACCTTCACCAAAAACCTGTACCTGCCATTCTGGCCCATCTCAGTAAATGGCCCAACCATCCTTCCAGGTGCACTAGGAGGAACTGAATGGTCATTTTCTTCACCTCCCTGGATCCCCACGTTCTACCTGTCAGCAAGCCCTGTCACCTTTAACTACAAAATGTCAAATATGTCTACTCGGTAGCTACAACTACCCAGGCCACCATTGTCTCATCAGAAACAATCACAGTAGCCTGCTAACGATCACCTTGTCTCCTGAGAACAGTTTCCCACACACAGCCTAAGTGAATTTGTCTGTTTTATTAAATCAAATTATATCACTCCTCTCCTGAAAACTCTCCGTGGCAGGCTGGGCATGGTGGCTCATGCCTGAAATCCCAGCACTTTGGGAGGCCAAGATGGGCAGATTGCTTGAGCCCAGGAGTTCTAGACTAGCCTGAACAACATGATGAAACACCATATCTACAGAAAACACAAAAATTAGCCTGGCGTGGTGGCGGGTGCCTATGGTCCCAGCTACTCAGAAGGCTGAGGCAGGAAGATTACTTGAGCCGGGGAAGTTGAGGCTTCAGTGAACCATGATCTCAACACTGCACTCCAGCCTGGGTACCAGAATGAGACCATGTCTGGAAAAAGGAAAACACAAAAACGGCCAGGCACAATGGCTCACGCCTGTAATCCCAGCACTTTGGGCAACTGAGATGGTTGGATCATGAGGTCAGGAGTTCAAGACCAGCCTGACCAATACGGTAAAACCTCAGCTCTACTAAAAATACAAAAAAAAATTAGCTGGGCATGGTGCCACATGCCTGTAGTCCCAGCTGCTCGGGAGGCTGAGGCAGGACAATTGCTTGAACCCGGGAAGTAGAGATTGCAGTGAGCCGAGATCGAGCCTCTGCACTCCAGCCTGGGCGACAGAGCGAGACTCCATCTCAAAAAAAAGAAAAAAAAAAGAAAAACAAAACAAAACAAAAAAAAAAGCTTAAGAGTTTTCTGTTGCCCTTGCAATAAAATCCAGATTTCCTGCTGTGTCCTAGGGGCCTGCATGATGTGGCCCCGCTTACTTTTGTTTTGTTTGTTTGTTTGTTTGTTTTTGAGATGGTGTCTCACTCTGTCACCCAGGCTGGAGTGCAGTGGCGCAATCTTGGCTCAGTGCAACATCTGCCTCCCAGGTTCAAGCGACTCTCCTGCCTCAGCCTCCTGAGTAGCTGGGATTACAGGCGTGCACCACCACACCAAACTAATATTTGTATTTTTAGTAGAGCAGTGTTTCACCATGTTGGCCAGCTTGGTCTCAAACTCCTAGCCGCAAGTCATCTGCCCACCTCGACCTCCTAAAGTGCTAGCATTACAGGCAAGCACCAACACGCCCGGCTGATTTTTGTGTTTTTACTAGAGATGGGATTTTGCCATGTTGGCCAGGCTGGTCTCAAACTCCTGGCCTCAAGTGATCCTCCCACCTCAGCCTCCCAAAGTGCTGGGATTACAGGCATGAGCCACCATGTCTGGCCCCCTGCTTACTCTTACTTCTCCAACCCACATATTTCTTACCACTTACTTCTCCTACTATGTTCTCTCTAGTTGACATACTTCAACTACATAATTTTATTTTGCTCCTTAAATATCCCAAGCAAATGTTTATTTCAGACCCTCTCTCTCTCTTTTTTTTTTTTTGAGACAGAATCTTGCTCTGTCACCCAGGCTGGAGTGCAATGGCATGATCTTGGCTCACTACAACCCCCGCCTCCCGGATTCAAGCAATTATCCTGCCTCAGCCTCCCAAGTAGCTGGGATTACAGGCACGTGACACCATGCCCACAGAGCCTCTCTTCTTACTATGATATTTCTGGAATGCTCTTCTCCAAAATTGTTTCATGGCTGGCCCCTTCTCATCCTTTAGGTCTCAGCATAAATGTCAGCTCTTCAGAGAGACCCTTTCTGACCACTTCATATAAACTACTTCATCACTTCTCGTATTATTTTCTTCACCATATCTGTCACTATTCAAAATGTTGGCATTACTTGTTTTCTTATCACTGCCTATTCCTTGGACTATCAGCTCCCTGAGAGGAGGGACACATCCTGTCCTGTTCAAGGCTTTATCCCCATGATCTACGCAGGGTCTGACTCATAGAAGGGCTTAATGAACATTTGTTGAATGAATAAATGACTGCTTTCTGTCTTAGTTTGCGTTCCCCAGAAGCAGACCCTAAGACAAGTATTTTTTTTTTTTTTAGACTGACTCTCACTCTGTTACCCAGGCTGGAGTGCAGTGGCCCAATCTCGACTCACTGCAACCTCCACCTCCCGGGTTCAAGCGATTCTCCTGCCTCAGCCTCCCAAGTAGCTGGGATTACAGGCACATGCCATCACGCCCAGCTAATTTTTGTATTTTTAGTAGAGATGGGGTTTCACCATGTTGGCCAGGCTGGTCTCAAACTCTCCACCTCAGGTGATCCACCCACCTTGGCCTCCCTGAGTGCTGGGATTACAGGCATGAGCTACTGTGCCTGGCTCCTAAGACAAGTACTTGAGTGCAGGTAGTTGATTTGCAAAGTAATCTCAGGAAACACTGGTAGGGTAGTGGGGGAGTGAAACAGGGAAGGGGAGGCAGCCAATAGACATTGTTATCAAGCAACTTTCTTGCAGGCATCTAGGCCTTAATCCTGCTGGAGAACACTGGGAAATAATACAGAACACTGTGCTGGTTAATTATTTGTGTCAACTTGACTGGGCCACAGGTTGCCCAGGTATCTGGTTAAATACTATTTCTGGGTGTGTTTCTTGAGGAAGAGGTTAGCTTTGGTGGACTGAGTAGAGTAGACTGCACTCCACAATCTGGATGGACATCATCTAACCCCTCGGGGACCCAAATAGGACAGGAAGGCAGAGCAAGGTTGAATTATCTCTCTGCCTGTCTGCTTAGGCTGAGACATTGGTCTTCTCCTGCCCTTGGACTGGGACTTAAACACCATTGGCACTCCTGATTCTCAGTCTTTTAGATTCAAACTGGAATTTACACCACCACCTTTCCTCAGTGTGCAGCTTGCAGATGACAAATTGTAGGACTTCTCGGCCTCTATAATCACTTGAGCCAATTCCTTATAATAAATCTCATTCTAGATATAAAAATATACATATAGTGACCAGGCACAGTGGCTCATGTCTGTAATCCCAGCACTTTGGGAGGCCAAGGTGGGAAGATCACTGGAGGTCAGGAGACGAGCCTGGCCAACATGGTGAAACCCTGTCTCTACTAAAAATACAAAAAAATTAGCCAGGCGTGGTGGCAAGCGCCTGTAGTCCCAGCTGCTCAGGAGGCTGAGGCAAGAGAATTGCTTGAACCTAGGAGTCAGAGGTTGCAATGAGCCGAGATTGGGCCACTGCACTCCAGCCTGGATGACAACGTGGGACTCTGTCTCAAAACAAAAAAATTAGCAAGGCATGGTGGCACATGCCTGTAATCCCAGCTACTCTGAAATTACAGAAGGCTGAGGCAGGAGAATCGCTTGAACCCAGGAGATGGAGGTTGTAGTGAGAGTTCACCTCCTGATTCTCTCACCTCAGCCTCCCAAAGTACTGGGATTACAAGCATGTGCCACCGCGCCCTGCCAAACTTCATTTAATTTAAACTGTGATGCACAGTTCAGTAATTGGAAGACTTTAGAATGATTAGAACAAGGGTATGTGACTCTACTGTAAATGCTATAAAATCTGAATACAAATCAAGTATTTCCAATGAAAATTTGACATCTGAATAGAGATGTGCTAGAGGTATAAAACATACACTGGGTTTCCAAGACTTAGCGCAAAAAAGGATTATAAAACATCTCACTAGTAAATGCTTATGAGTTGAAGTGATAATATTTTGGGTACAATGGGTTAAATAAAATATATTATTAAAAATTATTTTCATCTATTTTTAAAACTTTTTAAAATGTGGCTACTAGAAATTGTTAAATTTTATAAGTGGCGGCCGGGCGCGGTGGCTCAAGCCTGTAATCCCAGCACTTTGGGAGGCCGAGACGGGCGG